TGTATAGACAGCAATACAATAATGTGTTAGAATTAGAAAATAGCATCAGAAACATTTTGGGAAGCATTGATGGCAGAACTATTCACGTCGAATCTCAAAAACTTAAAATGTATGTATCTCGAAAACAGTTGAGTTTATCGATTTGTAACAAGTATACCTTTTTTATATAGAATTGAACGTTGTTCAACAATTTCTAGTTAAAAAATTGAAAATTGTAAAATATAAAATGTTAGGCATATTTTTACATTGACATTGACTACCATATTAAGTGATTTGAACTTTTATAAATTTAAAATAATTCTCACATAATTTTTTTGCAAAATGAACCAATTTTTATTTTATTTTGGCTTGGGGTACAGTAATATGACCTTCTTTTGACTTAACACGTAGCTTCAGTGTCGTACTATTATTCATAGCCAGAACACTTTCTCAAAATAGAAAAGATCTACAGCCTTGCTATAAAATGACATATTTATTATACAACACGAGTCAATTATCAAGTAAGTATTTCCAAGTCAGTGATTTGTACTGTATAATCTGGAATCATATTCCATCAAAATGCGAAAAATATAATTCTTGCCTCCATTCTGTATACAGGGTGTCCCATTTTTATTCTGAAAAAATTCAGGAAAAGATAGATCCGATAAAATTAAAGGGACTTTGCTATATAAATTTGTTTCGAAATCTGAACCCTTTCCGAAATACAGGGTGTTGAAGCTGAATTTATTTTTTTATTTTTTGTTAATATCTCTTGGAGTTATAAATTAATTGTTCTCAAATTTTGTGTGGTGAATACCACAGTGCACTAGTACTAATACACAAAACCTCAGCTTGACAGAAAAAACCAGTGGCGTGCATTCCGCACTTATCGATACCTTTTATAAAAAGTATGTGTTACGCCACTGACTGATCTTCAAAATAATAAGTAATTTCAATTGTTCGTGCATTGTTCTGTCAAAAAGCATTTTTACGTTTTCTACATAATAGGCACAGTTACAGAGTAAACCGACATTTTATAAAATCATCCCTGATCTTAATTTTAGCAGAACTCGATCACTATTCCTTATCTAAGAAATGCTGAAGCGCACTCCTGGCTAATTGAATACTATCTGTGATTACTAACAATGATGTTTTTTTTTAAGTTGGAAAAAATTAAAACATTTAAAATTCTTTCAGTGATTTAATAACAATAATTAATTATAAAATTTATGCACATTAACGTTTAATAAACTAAACAAAAAGTGTATCATTAATGTATCAACGAATATTTAAATATTGTTCAAATATTCTCAAATCTATTCTTTGATTTCTGTGCTCTAATGTTCTAATGTTCGTACATTACCAATTTCATGGAGTCTTTGAAATGCATCAGTAAATAATTGAGAATTTGGATGTCGTCTATCAGGAAACCTTCGTCTGTATTCTCGAGATGCCTCCAATGCGTTACCATTACACAATCCGTAACAGAACACAATATCAGCATATTCAGCATTTGAAAATTTATATGGCATTATTAAAGCACTTAATGGTATTTTATAAAAAGCTAAATCCGAGTAATTAATGTAAAAAGTTTTCGTTTCTCAACAAAGAGTGATCATGTCAAGTTTATTATGACAACCAAAACTGTTTGCAAAGCAACTCTGATTTTTAATTTTCTGTCACTACGAGTGAACAAAGTGTATTGCAGCCAGTGGCTTGCAATTTGAACATTTAATATTATTAAATTAACCAGGAATGTGCTTTAACATTTTTTAGATAAGGAATACTGAAGCCAAATTAAAACAACCTGAGCGTTTCAGTTGTTGATTAAAACAGTTCTGCTAAAATTAAGATCAGGGATGATTGTATAAAATGTCGGTTTACTCCGTAACGGTGCCTATTATGGAGAAAACGTAACAATACTTTTTGGCAGAACAATGCACGGACAATTGAAATTATTTATTATTTTAAAGATCAGTCAGTGACGTAACACATACTTTTTATAAAAGGTATCGGCAAGTGCGGAATGCACGCCTCTGGCTTTTTCTGTCGAGCTGAGATTTTGTGTATTAGTATTAGTACACTGTGGCATTCACCACACAAAATTTGAGAACAATTGGTTTATAACTCCAAGAGATATTAACAAAAGATGGAAAAATAAATTCAACTTCAACACCCTGTATTTCGGAAAGGGTTCAGATTTCGAAATAAGTTTATATAACAAAGCCCCTTTAATTTTACCGGATCTACCTTTTCCTGAATTTTTTCAGAATAAAAATGGGACACCCTGTATAATTTTGACCAGTAGTTTAACATTTTTATTTTAAAAGGCCTCTTGTTATGGCACGTTTCTGGATTTACGAATCGATGATCAACTTTTTCTGTTCAAAAAAAGACGATCAACTAAAATCATATCGCGATAATCCGCCTTTAATAAATCACTGGAAAGTATTTACAAAAAAAAATTCTCAATTAAATTTCAATCGAAGAGCTCGCACACTTTCCGATCTCTATTTGCACACCAAGAAGGGGCAAATAAATAAACAGTTACACGTTTCACATGCAACATGCATATGTCATTTCCGAGACGGGCCAACATGTCATCAGGGGCGCCGTTGGGTTACGGGCAAGGGAGGACAGTTGCCTAGAGATTCTTTAATAATTTATTGAAACTCCAACAACACAGAGTCATGCATACGTGATATAATACTAAGAACAAAGTCATTTCACTTAGTAAATACTTAGATGCTTATTCTCTAAGTATGTATTCACTTTTTTAAATCATAAAAATATCATAAATATATAAATGCTATATTCTAGTGGCTAGACGAAAGAAAAAGGCAAATATTTTGCTTTACCGAGCGCGCGCGTCCTAGTTTGGACGTAGTAGAATGACGCTTGTGGAAAAACCCTTTTTGGAACCCAAGAAGCTTAGAGAAGGGTTGACAAGGAAGCTTCTGGACTTTGTTAGGACAAAGCGATTTGCTGAATAGGGATTTACATAGAATCTAAAAACTGGAAGCCGAAGGGCAAAGTGTCTCTCAAGAGCATTCAAGATAAGGGTATACGAAACAATAATAAAAATCAACTGTCTTATACACATGTGAAACCTGGATAATGACAAAAAGAAAAGAAACCAAAAATAAAATATTCAAATATGTCAAAACTGTAATCGGTACAATAAGGAGATAATTATTACCCCATTTATTTTGTGTAGTGTAAAATAAAAAGGCAATACCTACTCGGATATTTTAAATTTATCGACGCCAATGCGTGCCATGATCCAATAACTCGATATATCGCCGTTAGCACTAAGTATGTGTACCACATGTAGGTATACCGGAGACCACACTCGATTGGTAAAATGTGTTCTCACAGAATTTTTGTTGCCGAAAAGGGCCATTAAGGAGGAATGTTTCCGGTCTGCTAGAAAATTATAAAGGGCAGACTAGTGCTTTTAATGCGAAACCAAAAACTCACACAAATGCCGCAAAAATATTTGTAAAATTACTACCTATACACGGCTTTGATGCCCCAGGTATATTGGAATTCTTTGATGGAGGGCCCTATATGTACAGGACCGTATTCGCTGTTTTTAAGGTTTCTAAAATCGATTTAAAATATGGATTTGTATGTTGTGTTTCTTTTAGTAAGTGTTTCGAGAATTTCGTTTTCATAAAATCAAATTCTGTATCATCAGTTTTAGTTTGACAGATTACAATATAGTTACCCATTGTATTTTCTTTAAGAGCCTCGGACTTTCGAAGGCATTACGAATATTCTGAGAATTCGATCAATCCATTTGATTACTAATTCTATTTGAAACAAGAACAGATTTCTTCTATTTTATTCGTAGAACGAGTCATTTTTTATTTAAACATTATTTCTTTAGTCGAAAATATACTTACAGAGCTAAATTTGTTGTTTCAAAATAAATACATATTATAGAATTTTGTTCTTCTCTAAAAAGGAATATGATCATTAACAATCCAAAAAAATTAGTATAGCAATATCAAATATCTAAGAAATAACAAAGAAAAAATGTTGACACCAGAGAATTTCTCACAGTTCTAATGGTTACATTATGGAATGCATTACCAATATGGAATGATTTCTTTTAATGGTAAGTAGTATGCAGAATAATAAGGGTTTTCAATAATAAAAACAGATGAAGCTGCAAAACGGAGATTAGAATTAATAACAATCAAAATTATTAAAACATATTGAAAACGTCTGGAATTTAAAACGAAGTGTGGCCGAAAGTAGCGCGCCGTCAACTTCTTTGTTATGTTGATAAATTACTACAACACTACTTTAGTTTTCGTTACGAAAACGTTTTATATTGGTTTAGATTCAATGCAAAATTATTAGCGAAGAAATGGTTAGTAATTTGTTTTCTTAGTTTTAACAATATTACAAATAAAATAGTGGAGGCCATAAACATTTTTATGAAGATATTTCAGAATTTCTTTAACGTGTCGTCTAAAAAGATGTTCAGATTTAACTTTTTTGGCTATTTCCTATAAAAATTTACCTACAGTTTAGGAGTTTTGGGTAACACCAACAGAACTGCATAGTTGATCTACGTTATGCGTGCTACTACAGTGAAGTCAGCAGTTCTCAACAAGTTTTATTTTAAATAGTGCGTTTATATTTTAAATTTAACTTTATTTATATGTTAATTACATGTTCTACACAGTAAACTTATCACTACTTAAAACATATGTAAACATTTATTACCCACCCTGTATGCGCACTAGTTCAATGCAAACCTTTTCACTTTTTCGAGAACGCTATAACAACTTCACAACTGTATATGAAACAATATTATTCCGAAAAATAAATATATTACGCACGACAATAAAAAAACGCATTTTTGGTCTTTGAAGACAAGAAATCGCTTTGCGCTCCTTATTTGGCCCTGGGTCTAACTCGTCGGAATACGGGACTGTCTCTCCACTTTCCCTCTCTTTCTACCCGACAGGTAAGCTACTCATTGAGTCACACACGCAGGTAAGAACCGTTGGTAGTGTCTACTGTCCGAGGAACATTAGCAAATTCCCGCTTTCTATTCACAAACACCATCGCCATCGCCTTGAGCAGACGACAATGGAGAATCGGTCTCACGTAGTGGTATCGCGCAGACTGTGACTGCAAAATGTGATTCTCTAGTGATTTTTTAAAGAATATCTCGTAAAACAGAACCAAATAAAGATGATCCTCAACTGGGCCACTGTGTGCTCAATTATTTTGTTAGGTGAGAGTCAAATTTTACTTTCTCTACGTGCAGAAATGTCTGAGCGGTGTAGCATATTGTTAATTAGATTTACTTTGGCGAGAAATTGTTTCACGCTCTAGTTGTAACAGTAAACAAACAAAACTAAATCTAGTTCAGGTAGTAAAAGTGATAAATGGCATAATCTAGTGCATATTAAGGTGCGAATTTATCGAAGTATTGAATCAAACAAACGATGAAAACGAATATGAAACCGAAAATAACTAAAGAGCTTTCCGATTACAACAACTAAACTATTTATCATTGAATCGTCATAAATTGTTAAATTACTCAAAAATGGTACAATTCTAGTAAGAAACAAACATTCTATTGTAGTATAGAACCGGATACCGTTTCAACTAATAAAGGAAAAGTTGTTTTGCGGTTTTCAACGTAATCTGTTTATTGTCTTTTAATTTGACACTACGAAAAATAAATCAGTCATAAAATTACGTGGGCTTAAAAATATATGAAACTCACAAACTTTTCTGACAAGGAAAAAACTTTGAAAAAAGCAGAGCAAACTTTCTTCCTTAATGAAAATATCACCATTTCTTGAATACATGAATCACCGGTACATCAAACTTTGTTTGATGAACAAAACTTAGGTAGGTAATGTATTTTTTAACAAAGAATATTAAAAAGTCTATATAAATTAATGTAAATGTGTTAAGAAGGTCAAACTACTATTAAGAACTAACCACACCCAAAACGTTCTTGAACTTTTATAAATGTACAAAACTATTTAATAATTGGGTAAGTTATTGGAGGAATTGTTATCTTCTAGGAAAATTTGGTTAGAGAATGATTTATTTATAGTTTATACTAGGACCTTCCAAGTTTTATAATAAATTTTCACATTTATTTTTTCCAAATTTATATCAATTTTTTTTCATTGACATCGACACCAGTTTTTAATATTTTTATGCATCTTAACAGATGTATTTAAAATGTATAACAACCATACTGATGACTTGATTTTTAAAGTATGGTCAAAAATAATGTATCTACTGAAATATAAATAACAATAAAATTGATAATAAAACACTTGCTGCTTTAAAAGCAATTAATCACGATTAAAAACCGACAGTTAATTTACAAATGTGTTACATTAGCTGATTTATGTAAGACCATTTTCTAATATTTTGTCTTTTATCGTTAGTCAATATTGAAAGAGAAAGTAAAACCGGTTTGTACAGCCAAATTTTGATGACGTATGCATGAAAACTTAGAAGCTTAAAAAATGGGTAAAGGTTTATTCCACTCCACTTTGGCACTGACAAATCGACTCTAGCTTTTTGAATTTTCAAGATATTTTGAAGAAAGCAGTTATTGTTGCAATTTATAAAATCCTACAATTTATTTACTTTTAAGAACTTTTGATATCTGTAAAAAATCACTACAATTGCAACATTCAGGTTTCTGTTTCAACGTTTCTTTTTTGTTATGGGCACCATATTGAATTTTACTCAAAGCATTGTTTAAAAGACAATAACTTAAGGAAAAAAAGACCCATATATCATTTCCGATGGAATTCGATACGCTGAACCCGATCATATAGTCAAAATTCACGACTTTCCGATGAATTTCCCAAAAAAAGGGATTTTTTGGGTGAAAATTGGCTCAAATATGGGTCGAAACCAATTTTCTCCTAAATTTTGTCCAAATATCATTTTCATGGTATTTTGAGGCGCTAAATACGATACTATTAGCGAACTTTACTTCTGACCGATTTTCTCAGAAAATCCAAAATTAGTCCTTTTTTAATTTTCAGGTATGTAAATTTTACTAACGGCATCGTGTTAGCGCCTCAAAATACTACAAAAATGATATATTTAGAGAAAACTCAAGAAAAAATAAGTTTTGACCCATATTTCGACCAGTTTTTATCCAAAAATTTCACTTTTTTCCGAAATTCATCGTGAAACCATGAATTTTGACTACAGAATCGTGTTCGCACATCGAATTTCTTCGAAAATAATACTTATATGGATCTCTTGGGGATAGACTTTTTATGTATGCCTTTGTAATTAATGAAATATTTTTTTAAGTAACAAATTCACATTGACCAATAAAGTAATACTTAATTTAGAAAGTTTATAGTTTGTAGGGTAAAAACTACCAATTATAATGAAAATTCCGATGTCTATATTCAACATTATTTTTATCAAAATTATTACCTTCAACAAGAATAAATTTAATGAAGTTTTAACACAAAAATCATGCTATATGAAATATAGGTAATTAATTCTCTATTAAAACTATTTTGTAGAAAATTATAAAACAAGCAAGACATGTTGAAAGTGTTCAATATATCAAAATAATGTTAAATATCGTCACAATTAAGTATTATTTTAATTTAAGTAGGTAATTAATTTGTTTTTAAGTTTCGTAAAAAATATTTTATTAAATTGTATTTTGTCAAAATAGTAATAAATGCATATTTATAATGAATAAAATGAAATAAAAATCAAATAAAAATAAACCAATAAATGTCATAAATAAGTTCAAAATTGATAAATGTGAGTTTTCCATTCTAACTTATTTTAGAAATAAGAGGAAAAGTACAATTTCTCACAATCCTTTTATTTTTAAAAAAACTACCGTTTCGAGGTTACATTTTTCATGTCATCCTCAGGTCCTACAAAGCTACAATAGTACATAATTTTTTAAATTACTTAGTAAAGTCAAATTTAGTAATTAGTAAAGTCAAATTTGGCAATTATATAGTAAAATCAAATTATTATTATTATCTTTAACAGTTTTTAAAAAAAGTAAAAACTTAAAAAATCATTTCAAAATCAAATAGTTTATAAATTTGTAAAAATTAATAATTATTGTATAGGTTAAAAAATTAAACATAATTTGACTTTACAAAGTTTAAAATTAAACATAATTTGACTTTACTAATTTAAAAAATTATATTATATTATAGCCTTGTAGGACCTGAGGATGAGGTGAAAACGAGGGTGAAAAGTTTGACCTCGACCGGTAGTCTATTGTTTTTTAAAATATACCTAAAAGGTTTGTGAGAAATTGGACTTTTCTTCTTATTTCTAAAATAAGTTATAAATACATATAATATTTATTGTTTTTTTTACATATTTGGTTTTTCTCACTTACAGTACAGAAGAAACTACAAAATTCTATTTCATTTAGCATAAAATTTAGTATGTCTCCCAAAAGGAAGAGAAAAGTTGATGATGGTTTCTCTAGACAGAATATAAATCTGAGTCTATAGTCATAATTCTTTACAAAATATTTCTATTAAGACGTTTTCATAAACATCAAAAACTCTCAGAAACAAAAATTGCCATTTAGTGAGTAATATAATGGTCTAAAAGGTCATACATTTAAAAGATTTTCCTATTTCTTATATTATGTTCCTATTTCCGAGATCCCCATATCATCAAAATGGTCCACACCGTATATCTCAATCTTGACATGCTGAATTATTTAAGACTTGTTTATACCGCTTATTTTAATTTAAAATCACATAAATCTTACAGTAATGGGCAAAATTAAGTCAAAAATAAGTGGTCTAAGAAAATTTAAAGAAAAAAGATCTGAATTTCGTAACAATTCTCAAAAGAAATTCCCAAATTCCTATTTCCAAAAATATTTTGATGAAGACTGAAGGATATAAACTTCGATTTAAACCAGTAAAAATTTAATTCTTATTCATTACGTTACCCACGAGATTACCCAAATTGCATTCTCTTTTCTTCCAGGCACAGTATCCGCTACCTCAATCGAACTAAGAAGTTACCTATCCGAAGAAGGCCTCCACGGCACCATCACCTTCACCAAAACCCAAGACGGAGTAAAAATAACGACAGATTTGAAAACCACCCTACAGTACCCCAACCAAGTGTGGTCGTGGTACGTTACCGAATTCCCAGTAGACTACACGGAACTAGAAAACCGCTGCGATAGCTCCAAGTTAGGCAAAAAGATCGTAGGCTTCGAAGAAACCTTTGGTTACCTTATTCTTCCAGAGAACCAGACTGTTGAGTACTCCACTCCGGATCTGAAGATCTCTGGACCTTTGGGTCTATACGGTAAGTCCATTTTGTTGAGGAACGTCGAGACACGCAGGCAAATATGTGCTTCGATCGTCATGGTCAACAAAACTTTGGAAAGGACCGCTGTCGCAAGATTCAGCAGTCCAGTGGCAGGCTATATCAACTTCAGGTGGTTTTCCGTGGACGGTAATCAAAGTGAGGTACTTATCACGACTGACTTGTACCATTCACGTAACAAAGAAAACTTTGACAAATCCTTGGACTTCACGGAACACCACTGGAAGATGTACGTGACTGATATCCTGGAATCTGACAATGACAGACACATAGACAATTGTGATATCCTTCAGCTAGTGTTCGATCCGGATGACAAAGGGGAGGGCAAGGGTATAGGTGACATTGACGTGAGGTTGGGTAAAGTGAAGGTGTCGACTAACTACAACACGAACAAGTATAAGGTCTTGTATAGAGATAGAGATCTAGTTCTTCTACCTAGTGATTTGACCGGACCACAGCGACGGTTGTATTTGGTGTTGTTCGAGAGCAAGCATCAAGATGTGTTTCTTGGTTGCGCCAAAATCAGATACGAACATCCTGTAAATGCCAGGTAAGAAAAGAATACCTCTTTTCTTTATTTAATGAAAAAATATTTTTAAATTAATTTCACTGATTTAATTAGCGTTTGATGAAAGTTCAGTGGTGTAAATAGTTAAAAAAATTGAAGTTGTATGTCTACGTCACTGGTAAAAAATGTCATAGAAGACCTTTTACATACTGAATATTGTTTAAAATTACAGAAATAAGTTTCTTATTGAAATATAAGTTTACTTTGTTTCACGATAAAGATATTGTGGGAAACAAGTACTCTGCGGTCTAATGCAGTTGAATTATACACGTAATATTCACTAAATAGCTAAGATCATTCGTCAACAGAACCACCAGACATATACCAATTTTGAACTAATCGAATATCTTTTGTTATATCTCAGGAATATATATATAAAATAATTTCAAAGAATTTCGTACAATTGAATTCAGTTCTTTTAACTGGTAGAATTTTAGGTCCAACAGTTTAGTCAGTGGCGTGCAACTGGGATGCTGGACCTCTTTTTTAAGTTAAAAAATAATTACATACTCAGATAGCACTCCAAAATCTCCGTCATTTACTATTTTTCTTTTGAAAAGCGTCCTTTTTGTGAACTACTTTGTTTTGTTGTAGGTGTTGTAGGTAGGTATAAACTGTATTGTAGATAAGTACTTATAAGTAAAAATATTAAATAGGTAGCGCCATATGTGTTTTGTAAGTGATGAAATGAATGAAATAGAAAAACTTTTTTCATAAACTTTTCATAAAAAATCTAGAAAGGCGAAAAGTTTTTTTATTTTCTAGTAATAATAGTAACGAATTTATAAATCAGTAATTTTTTTAATTTCTTTGCTTTAATTCATCACAAATTTGCACTACTATCATACACTTTACCTTTCATAAATCTGCAAACAAAATATCAATGGAATGAATTCGGGTGAATGATGTGGCCAACATATTTTGGTTCTCCATAGAATTATTTCTTCATTATTTATTGGTACTAACCAATCGATCTAATGCTGAGTATAATTATTTTCCAATAACTAATGAATTTGCCCGTCATAATACAGGGCATCCATCTTCATCTTTGTAGAGAAATACGTATAAGGTACATATTCTCAATGATTGATAGATTTTATATGTATATGTAAATTTGTTAATAGTTTTTTGAAAAAATGTAAAGTAGTACTTTAAAAAAAAAGACCCCGCACCTCGATTGCACACCACTGACTAAAACTGTCAATGAAAAGACCTCTCTTAATTTATAAGTTGTACGGAATTTCATTCAAATTCGTCTCTAGATTTTCGAAATATAAAAAGGGTTATCTTTTTCCCAAATTTCAAAATTCAAATTCAAAAACAGTTTATTCTTATAGGACATATATAACAATGTATAAAAAAGGTCAAGTCAAATATCAAACAGCAAAGCTGTACTCGGCAAAGAAATGTTCCTAAGGCAAAAAACAATGGAGTAAACTTATTTTGCCACAAAACAAATGGTTTACATGCTAAAAAATTTAAAAAAAGCATTTTTTTCTCATCGAACTTTAACTGAAAACTTTAGAAATGAATATATCAGGAAGAAAATTCATGAACTATAACCAAATTTTTAGGATAAATAATAAAAAACATTTGTCCAACAGTTGCAGTTTTGTAGGTGTTTCACAGGTTCGTATTTAGTGACTAAAACCAAATTACAATTACTATATTTTTCTAGTCAGTAGTGAAATAAAATAATAATAATTTTAATGAAGAAAACAACATTAAGCAATTAATTATTTATTAGTATTCACATTAAATTAAAAAGTTGAGTTGTGAAATTAGATTGCACTACCAAAACTAAGACAAGGGCCTCATTTTCTTGGTGTGAATATTTGCTACTTCTACAGTAGAACAAGCAGTAGAAGAGGTACCGTCAGCAATAACTATAAAACAATCAGTAATAGAGCCACTATCGACATTGTTCTCGTTCTTCTGATTGTTGTTTTCTGCGGATGCAAATTTAGCTATTTTTGATACAGTTGAGCTAATGACAAAACAGTCACTCGAAATCGTGAAAGACCGTTCCTTCTGAGCTTTTGTGAATCAGAGATGAACTGGTAGAATGGCACGTGAGAATCTGCTTATATTGACATATTTCTCTTTTGTAACATAGCGTATACTATTTTGTATGAATGGAGTGCATAATAAAACATTTTGAATCCTGTATTCCAATTTTTATCCCGTCAATAAATAGTAATTAAAATTATATAAAGAAGATAAACCATGGGATGTTTCATTTTGCTTTTCATACTCCATGCAAATTTCAGGGTGATAATTCAATCGGGAGGTATCAAAGGTGATATAAAGATGACGCAAGCCACCAGATTCGAACCAACATTCCTCAATTTCAATCTGACAACCTCTAGGGGAGATCTCGAGACCCGAATTGTCTATAGTTCAACAGTGGCCGGTTACAAAATCCACGAACTACCCATCAAGCCTTCCAGGGCAGTCGGACAAAGTGAGAATTCCTGTTTGACCACCAAGTTCATCTACAACCCCTTGAAAAGGGATATCAACAACTCCCCTCCAAATGGTAACTAGATTTAGATGATAATAAATTACATTTTATGTTTAAGTTTTAGTTAGGAAGAGTTTTGAAGTAGATAGAACAGCTACAAAAAAAATTGTAGCGAAGTTGTCTGTCCCATGATTGGTGTCATGAAGAAGAAAAACTTTTTAGTTGTAAAATGAAAAAAATTAATTTTTTTTTATAAAATTTCCTGCATGCTTACAAACTTTTAAAAACGTTCCCATTGTGAATAGGACATATAACTGCTATATCTGTAGAAAACTGTCCGCTGCTATTATACAATATTATGCAGTAAAAGGAATGAGATTCTGTTTTATTTTCCTTAGGATTTGGCACACAAGACCAGTACTCAGTAGGTGATCTTTCTGGAAAACTACTTGGTAGAAACAACGCCACAGTTTTGGTAGAAGGTGGACAAGAACTTAATGGTACGTACTGGGACGTATTTTTGCCTTTGCGTGGAAAACATTCAGTGGTGCACAGATCGCTCGTCATTCACAAGTAAGTAATAAGTAACCCATTTTTCTATGTAAGACAATAGGGGGTGGAAGAAGTGAGAATGTCCGATATAAAAGTACACAGAAATATGATAACAATTATTATTATTGAATATTCTGATTAGTCTGATTACTAGAGCTCGACGTTTGCGTGCAATATCAGTGGCGTGGCATCATTAAGAAATTTGAAATGTAATTTATATTGAATATGTTAAAGCAAACTTACCAGCGTGTCATTTCACTACAATTGAAAGATGATTCTTAACATATTTAAAATGACCTCAGTGAAAAGTTGAACATATTTTGCTTTATTAGGCGTTAGAATGTATTAGATTTTTCCTATCTGTAATTTAAATATCCAGTTTTTTCCCATTTAAGCCAGATTATATCTATATGTATTAATCTCAGTTTATTTGTTAATGTGGTGACGAACAACAAACAACTTTGAGATAAAGACCACTTAAATATATTTCTACTGTTCGTTGCATATCACATACATCAGAACACATGAACATAAATTAGGTCATAAAAAATATCCGGTGCGGCAGCTCTAACAGTCAATTTACGTATTTGACATTCAATATTTGTTTTATGCTGATAGAAACTCCAGACCAACAAAATCCAGATCAACATATTTTGTTATTTCAGCAAAGCATAAATTAGAAACGCATTTAAGTATTAATTTGACAGGTATATCGGACGACTAGACAATTTTAAATTTCTTTAGACTTAGCGATCCGTATTAGTGGGTGAGATGCACTAAACGAATCGAGACACAGTGCTATCTAGCGACGATAAGGACCCCACCTACTTCTCCGTCTTATTTTCGCACCGAAATGTCGAGCTTCACCGATTGTGATCCTGTACTGGTAGGGCTTGTTTTTCGGAGGAAAGGCTTGACTTTGATGACGGATTTTCTGCAAATACCTCGGTTTATATGTAGCTGATGCTTTCAAAACGGCCTATTTTTGATGTTCAAATTTGTGATAATGTTGTTTTGAAATTACAACGGTATTCTGTTTAGTGCAGCATTATTGGAGATTTTTTTTTAGTACATAGGTATTACATCTAATATTTTCAATTTGTCCTTTTTATTACGTAAACATTCTTGTTCTAAATGTGCCTCGTTATGTAATCAAAATAAATGTCGACAACCCCAGGCAAAACTAACCATGCAATTATTTATTACTTAAATACTATTACCTTTTCAAAGCATACAAAGCTAAAGCAATAATTCGTAATTACTTAACAACTATTTAACGGAATATTATTTTTTTAATCCTCTAGTCTCTAGTCGCTGACAATGACGCATGATGCAATTATCATGGTCAATTCACTCTGCACTTTCATTATTTAAACAATGTTTTTGCAACAACTAGATCGGGAAATTATAGTTAATAGTATTCATTTATCACGGCTTAGTATTAAAACGGTAAAAGAAATACATTTTAAAACGACATCGCATATAAAACATTAATAAATACTACCAAATGTTTTTATCTTTGTATACAAATGCTACTATGCCTTTTATTGTAAATCCTAATCTAAAACGACTCAGCATGATGATTTATTATTTTTATATAGGGTTTTCAACACATTATACTTTAAAAATTGCACTTACTAAAGAAAACACACTGTATAACTCATTTAAATAAAATTGGTACATGTACAATTCTATTAAATTATTATTTTTTTTTCTTTAAACAATGGCTAGTACGATTTTCCAATTTTTGACAAACCTTTTTTGCTTTAGTAGGTCATAAAATTAAAATAGAAACATAAATTACGTGTGGTAAGATAGGTCTCGTCAAAGGCCAAGCTAAAAGAGAAAAATAGATTCGACCCCTTCTAAAATAACAAAGTGGTGTTGCCCTGAGTGAAACATACTATACCAGGTGTCTGAGTTGTATTATTCCAATGGCATATCTCTATTACTTAAAAAACCATATACTTGAAATTTGGTGATTGATATACACCCAAACTTCTTTAAATATAAAAAATTCTTTCACTTTCCAGTTTAATCGGAAACGACCATAACTTATTTATTTTAAATGACGCCCTATGTATATTTTTTTCTTAAAATTTGAATTCTACAAAACATTTCCTTTTTCGTGACGTATTACACTGTATTTAGATTTCAAAACAGATGTAAAATTGCATTTTAAATGTTCCAAAATTGGGATTATAGAAAATTATGAAAAGCATGTGCATTATGTATTTTGAATTTAAATTTCAAAGTAGTAAAGATTTCTAGCAAGCACTTTCTAAAGTTTTCAAGAACACTGTAAAAAAGGATTTACAAATATTTTATTGAAGGTGAAATAACAGAAAAATTACGTTAAATGAATTACAAAAAGATATATTTATTTATTTTATTTGTACAAGAACGGTATTTATGACTCTCTTGACACCAAAGACTAATCGTGAGCGACAGAAGAACGAAGGATATCGCATTCTGCTTTAATTTCTCGAATTGAGATACACTTCCCAAAACTCCAACACTATGCTCGTCATCAGTAGCAGTCTTTCTTTTAAAAACAGTTTGTTTTTTTTGCCAAGGTCCCACATGTCGCTAAATTTGAAGCCAGATGTGTAAAGTACATAGCACTTCCCATACGTCTGTCAGGATACCGCTCTCCGTAAACACGGAAGGCATCACACCTGTTTTTTCTGCATTTCCCATAAATTAGAATCATATTTAATTTATTCTGATCTCCTAAAATTGTCGTTATTCACTTTGAATATGTACCATTTTTGTTTAAAGCAACTTATTACTACAAATTTTAATAATACTTCATAAACTGTCAAAGTAAACAAGCAAATTTATTCAAATAATTTCAAAACCCGCTTTAGTTTTTATAAATTGCTTTGATTTGTACAATCCCAATTTTGGAAACTTTTCAAATGGAATTTCACTTCTGTTTTGAAGTCTAAATAAAAAGTGTAATACTTCACGAAAAAGGGAATTTTTGGTACAATTAAAATTTTAAGAAAAATATACGGGGTGTTGTTAAAATAAAAAAGTTATGGTCGTTCCCGGATAAACCAGAAATGAAAGAATTTTAATATTGGGCCTAATTTAAAGAAGTTTGAGTGCCCTAAATTTCAAATGTATGGTTTATTAAGTAATGGAGAAATGCCATTGGAACAACGCAACTGAGACACCTGGTATTATACAAGAATCTACAAGTTAAGTTGAGTTGAGTTAGATATATTTGAATTTTCAGAAATACACAATATCCCACTTCTGAAATAGTGGCAGAGCCCTGGATTTGCGGAGGAATTACCCTGTACGAAAACGACTTCATGTACCAAAAACCCATTTTCACCGCCCAAGTCCTCTTCAGATATCCCACAGTGGGCAGACTTCTAATGCGCCAAGCAAAAGACGAACCGTGGACCGACACTACTATTTTGATAGAGTACTTGGTCCACGCCGATGGATCGGCTCTGAACAACTCAGCTGACCACAGATGGGCCATTCACGAGTTTGCTCCTGGAAAAGACTTTTACAGCTGGCAGAATAGGTGTTTAAGTGCCGGAGAGATCTTCAATCCTTACAAGGTAAATTGGAGAATTAAAATAAATCGGCTGCAAAGCAGATACTAAACGTCGTTTTTAGGTCGATTACGACAACAAGTCGTCGACGGATCAGTGCAACATGGACAACATTGGACTGTGCAGACTTGGAGATCTTTCCACAAGACACGGCACGCTTGATATATCGGGAAAGATAGCAGATAGTGACAAGATATCAAGAAAACTATGGACTGATCCCTTATTGCCACTGACGGGTCACCACAGTATTTTAGGAAAGTCGTTCCTCTTGTACGATGACCATGGTCCCAAAGCAAGAGGCGAGAGGCTAGCTTGTTCAATGTGAGTGTTCCTTTCTCATCTCAAAACATGGTTTTATTTCCACTACATCCCCTTTTAGTATTGGAGGTGTGTACAGAAGAAAAGCAGTTGCAAAAGACTGGTTCCCTAATGGCTTTGACTTGTCAGTAAAAGGAAAGGTGGAATTTATACAGCAGACCGAATACGACGTTACAAATGTTGAAGTATCTTTGGAAGGTCTAAGTGATAACAGTGGATACCACGTTCATATGGTAAGCAAATAACCAGGAAGTAGTTCTGACAAACAAAAAGTCTTTTAGAATTCTGAACATTGATCATAATTTCAGACACCTGTAGAGGAAAATCTGCAATTTCCTTGTGAAGCTACCTCCCTTTACGGTCACTGGAATCCCTTGAACGTCGACCCAACTTCCTCACCTCGCCTCTACCAAGGAACACCAGATCAATACGAAATGGGTGATCTTAGTGGTAAGTTTGGCACTCTAGATGGTAACAAAACGTACAAATCCACTTACAATGACACTTTACTGAGTTTGTTTGGGCCCAGGAGTATATTGGGAAGGTCTGTCGTCATACACAAAAAGGTAAAAGTTTTATTTACTACGTCGATGAAATATGCTAAGTTATTATTTTCAGGATAAACGTAGATGGGCTTGTTCTACTATCGAAAGGGGTTACAGCCCTTCTGAGGCTAGAGAGTTGAGGGCAATTGCCTCTTTCCACAATCCAAATGGTCATGCTTTTGGATATATGAAAATGGTAAGTAGAAAGAGTTGCACAAGATCGATTTTCTTAATTATATAATTTCAGAGGCAACTTATCAATACAGATGGCAGCGCTAGTGACACGACCATTGAGGTAAAACTAAGGCACCCCGGAAAACACGACCGCAACATTGTAAGGACCACTAATTTTTGTTTTAGTATACATACATTTAAACAAAAATTACTTTTAGACGAGAGACCATCACTGGGCGATCTATGTAAATCCTGTTGGTGTCGATGCTACAGTAAAAACGTTAAATACTAGATGTGTGGCTGGAGGATATATTTGGAATCCATTCTTTACCCAATTGGCTGATCCCTTAAATGTAAGCCAGGAACTGATTTACGTAATGGGGTGCTTTCCAACCTTTTAACTGTGTCAAATAAGTTGTAATAAATGATATCTATTTTTTTAGCCTCATCTAAGTCCAAATATATATGCGTTGTGACGTCATTAAGAGAAAATGTTAAACCCAGTGTCAAATCTAGTACCTACCTAATTTTTAGTATTCTTTAGTCTGTTGCAGTGGCAACACGCAGTGTCACAATCTTTAAGTGTATAGGACAACAGGATCCGTCTATTGCTGACATTGTCTACAGTTTTAGAAAAAGGGCAACGCCTTCAGATCTACGAAAACGTGCCTCAAAAAGAGATCGGTTGTTTCTTAAACTATTTTAATATGATAATAAAAGTAATAAATATAAAAAGTAATAATGATAATAAATGCATAATTTGTTGGGGCTGATTTTGAAATCCAGAGAATTCCAGATCATTAAGTCTATAAGCTTCGCTATCAGAAAGTCACAGTAAGGGTCGACGTTTGCCCACCCAATTACACGTTTGTATAGGGTGTCACAATCCAGGGAACATCATGATCGACGCTCTCAGATCTGACGAATTACGGATTTATCAATATTATTTATTATACTTACTACTTTTATTACCCTAATATAATTAGTCCACAGTACAGGCCCCCTCTGGAAAGTTGATTACCACATACTTTATAACTCCTGAGGAGCTTCGTTTTGACGAGTCTACCACATTTTTCCTCTGCGACTTTTCTCGATTCCTCCGCTTTTCCACTCGGAAAAGTCCAAAACATGGCAATTTCCCGGGGTCTTGAAAAGTCAAGACCACATCTTTTATTTTTAGCTTAAGTAACTGGTAATTTTGTTGCAAATGCTGATTTAAATTTGTCGGACAGAAATTCTTCCGACATTGACGTGTCTACCAGTCGAAACATGCCAAAATAACAGGGTATTGAAAATCAATTACCACATAGGTAATTTTTACTAAAATTAATTGTAAATAATTAATTCAGTCAAAAAGTATTGTTGTCCGACAAATTTCAAGCCGCGTTTTTTCAGTCCGACAGCTGGAAATCGGAATTTTCACGGGGTATGACAAATCGATTACCACATGTCGGACAAAACTAACACATGATAGAAAAGTGTTTTTTATAAGCAAAAATTGTAATGTCCGAAAAAAATTTATCCGCAAATTGTCAGTCTGACAAAAAATGATGAAAAAAATTTCATAAAAAATGTGCACATGTCATTGTATTTATAATTTCTAATAAGGTATTTTCATGTACTAAGCAAAATTCCATATAAATATACAATACAGGGTGTTTCAGAAAGACCTCCCGTAAATACAGGAGGTGAGGACAACAAAAAATAAGAATTTTTTGTCATATGTTTATCTCCTCTTGTTTTCGAGATACAGAGCGACAAAATAAAATTTTTTAAATAAGATTTTTATGAAAATTTCCAAACGGTGAGAAATATTTTTATGAACACTTTCTTTAGATTTGACGATGTTAGCGGCATTAAAGCTGTGATCAATGTCAACAATTCGTCGGACACTCTTGTCCTATATATCTAATGGACCAGACTTAAAAAATATATATTTTTAAGAAATTTAAAAGAACATTCTATTCACTTCCTGCTTGAAAAAAATAACCCCGTTGTTAAAATGCGTTGATGATATCACAAAACATGTTTTAAATTTTTAGAAACGTAAAAAATAACGTTGACCTCTTTTTTCTACCTCAGGAAGAACTTTATCGTCAAGAGTGTGGTCCAGAAAATCCTCTCAGATGCCACGTGGGAGATCTATCGGCCCGACTGGGCACTATCGATATCGGTCTCAAAAGAAAAGTTTTCACCGACTCAAATTTTCCTTTAGAAGGCGACGTTTCTGCCATAGGTAGATCTATAGTCATCCTAACACCAAATAAAGGGGGGGAGAGATTTGCTTGTGCCAATATAGAGCCCGACTATGACATCATTAAATATGCCAATATTGAGAAACCGCCAAGATTCGTAGTGTATGTACTCATATCCCAAATACAATTAGTTATTAAAACTTTTTATGTTATAGAGCACAGTTTATTGAAGATGTAAGAGACGTTATGGGGATCCCCGAATGGTTCTTAACTGTGGACAGCAGAAAAACGAAAAATTTGCACAACAATGCTTGCATGCAGCTGTTGCTACATTTTAAAGGACCTATTGCTAGTAAACTGGAGCAAGATTTTAGTAGACTACTGTCTTTGGGTAGGCTAGAAGCACCAAGTTTGTACATTCCAGGATACATTAACGAGAAGAGAAAAGTGAAAATATCATACAAACAGTGTGGCGCAAGGGATCCAAATGAAAAAAGTAATAATTCAAAATACTATTTATGCTGTTGTTTTCATTAATTACATGTATTTTTATTGTTTTAGGCAAAAGAAAATCATTTTTCGCCTTTGGATCTAGCGCTAGTAGACAAGTATTTACGACTGATGTAAATTTAATTATGATTTTATTAGTAACTTATTTATTTTATTGATTCGTTGTTGATAATGTAAATAGACTGTAAAAAATATTTATTGTCTAATAAATTATTTGATAAATTCAGAAAAGAATGTGTCTCTGCCTAAATTCCATTTCTTATTTCCTTAACAATTGAGGCCTTACAAAACCGTTAAGATAGAGTTTTAGAAGAACTTAGAACTAACGATTATAACAAATTATAAGCAATCCCAGACTGTTATTTAATATACATAAAATCAATGAACATTACTTATTCTCTTTCTTATAACGCTAGCTGCGACATCTCTACGGGATTCAAGTCAATTAATTTGCACAAATATAACCTTCATTGTGGAACACGCCTATGTTTTTATGGTTGGTATTTCTATCTATTTGACAGTAAATGAGTAGTGACAGTTAACAGTTGGCATCACTTCATTCAGAAATCAATTCCCCAACCAAAATAAGCAATATAATTATTTTTTATTATTGCATTTTACTAAGAATTAAATATAACTAATTTTTAAAAACGTTTCATTCGTTTAGTGTAAATTCCTCTGTGTATTAAAAACCTTAAACATGTACGAGCAAGATGAAGGTAAGTCCCTACTTTTCAATAACATTGTGACATATTACAAAACGTAGTAACGTCGTTAGAATCTATAAATCAAACGATTTTTAATTATATTGTATCTTCTGCAGATCAATTTGACGATGAAGATTCTGAAGAAATCAGTGCCGAACTGTGGCAAGAAGCCTGTTGGATTGTTATCAACGCTTATTTTGACGAGAAAGGCTTGGTGCGACAACAACTGGATAGTTTTGATGAATTCATTCAAATGTCTGTCCAAAGAATCGTTGAAGATTCACCACAAATTGACTTGCAGGCAGAGGCACAACACACATCTGGTGAAATTGAAAATCCTCCCAGGTACTTGCTGAAGTTTGAACAAATTTATCTTTCAAAACCAACACATTGGGAAAAAGATGGTGCTCCATCGCCTATGATGCCGAACGAAGCTAGACTGAGAAATTTGACTTATTCTGCACCCTTATATGTAGATATAACAAAAACTATTGTTAAGGAAGGGGATGATCCTATTGAAACGCAGCACCAGAAAACTTTCATTGGTAAAATTCCTATTATGTTGCGTTCAACTTACTGTTTATTGAGTGGACTGACGGATCGTGATTTGACTGAGTTGAACGAGTGTCCATTGGACCCTGGTGGTTACTTTATCATAAACGGATCAGAAAAAGTATTAATCGCTCAAGAAAAAATGGCTACGAATACAGTATATGTATTTTCAATGAAAGACGGCAAATATGCATACAAATCGGAAATTCGCTCCTGTTTAGAACACAGTTCAAGACCGACGTCTACTTTATGGGTGAATATGATGGCGAGAGGTGGCCAAGCTATCAAAAAGGCTGCTATTGGTCAGCGTATCATCGCGATTTTGCCTTACATCAAACAAGAAATCCCTATCATGATTGTGTTTAGAGCCCTGGGTTTCGTAGCCGATAGAGATATTTTGGAACACATTATCTATGACTTTGACGACCCTGAATTGATGGAAATGGTAAAGCCTTCTCTTGACGAAGCTTTTGTGATACAAGAGCAAAATGTAGCGCTCAACTTCATTGGTGCAAGAGGTGCTAGACCGGGTGTGACCAAGGAGAAACGTATAAAATATGCAAGGGAAATTTTACAGAAAGAAATGTTGCCCCATGTTGGTGTGTCTGATTTTTGTGAGACAAAAAAGGCGTATTTCTTGGGGTAAGTACTTTTTGATTTGCGTCAACAAAAGAAATATATGAGCGGGTAACTACTCTATACATTTTTGTAAATACTGTAATAACGCAGAAATTCTTTGTCCACATTTACCGAAATCGCTTAAAACGGGCTGTTGTTAGAGGTTTATTTATTATTGTTTATTGTTTTTAAAGGCAAATGCTATAATATTTCGTTTTGGTCATAAAAGTTGGTGAATAATTATTAACATAATGCTAAATACAATGAGAATTCAAATGTATATTATAATTTACTAGGGATCGACTGATATACGATTTTTGGCCGATACCGATATATCAAAAGCCGATATATCGGTATATCGGCCATTCGACTATTTCCGTCGTTAATCAGGTGGTTTACATTGAAAACTCTCCGAACTCATCATCACATAATATTTCCCCTTGTAATTGAATAAATACGTGTTGTGTGTTAAATTACATAGGTATACTTACATGTAATTATTTATACCTATGTTTTCTTTATTTTTTATATTAAAACAAGTAATTGTTCTTTAGATTTTTTCTGCTAAAACTAATAAGTACTAATTATTGTTATATTTTATTTATTTTAAGTAAAGAACTTTTGTACTTTTGTACAAATAAATTATGTATTTTTCAAGTATTTTTACTCGATTTTTAAAAATATTTTTGTATTAGAAATATATACAGGCTGTTACAAATTCGCTTCTCACTACAGGGATCTCGGAAACGGTAAGTGGTACGAAGTAGCTTAACTGGGGGCAAAGTTGCGTAATCAGGTGACCAACATTATGCCTCTAAAAAATCAAAGCTAACATGATTAGTTTCCGAAATACAGTAAAACTTGGTTATAGCGAGCATTCACGGGAACGCAAAATTTGCTCGTTATACGCGAGTGCTCGTTATAGACGTTGCCGTTGCCAACTATGCTGAAAATTATTGGACACTTAATTATTGCATTGCACTTGTATTTTTATTTTCAAACATATAATATTATTTATCTACATAACATAGATACGTATAACTGTAGGTAAGTTACATTACATAGCATTTATTATTAACGAAAAAATTCTGTAATATTTTTCTGCACCACTCTTTTGCTTAATATCTCCTGACTGATATTTCTTTGCAACCGATCAGCGGCATTTAAGAACTGCTCGTTTTCCGGATATTTGAATTTGACGTATGATACTATGGTTTTTAACGCAGAGATGGCTTCATGTGTCGAAGGAACTGTAACCTCATCACTTCCCGTCTCTTCTTCATCACTTTCTACATCTATTGATGGGTTAATCGCTAATTGTGTGATTTGAATTTCATTTGGGAATTCAGCCACTTCGAGATTTTCGTCTACCATGTCGTACTGAACTAAATCAAAGACGTCAAAATCGGATATGTTGTTATTTCTACCAGTCATAACAAGTTTTTGTGTTCATTTGATGTCACGAGCTCACTGTTTACGATAACTCGTTATAGCCGAGATCACTGTTGCGTGGGACCAAAATCAAAGCTCGTAATAGCCAAGCCCTCGTTATATATGAGTTCGTTATAGCCGAACAAAAATACACGTGTTACATAGGGAATTCGGAAGGGACATTTCAATTTGCTCGTTATAACCAAGTGCTCGTTATATCCCCTGCTCGTTATAAGCGAGTTCAACTGTATTTGAAAAAAACCGAAATTTTGGAAATCCATTTTTGTTTCATTTCAGCCCTGTTTGATATTGAAAAAATAAGAACACTTTCTCATGGCCACTTTTTGCCCTCTATCGAATGGCATAATCAATTTTTATATGTAGCGTTTCGTCTCTCCAGGACCATCATCAACATAATTTTTTTAAATACGATCCTAGAAATTTTATTACTTTTTTCATAACCCCCAATACTGTACTGCCTCAGCCCGAATCAGATTCAAACATTTTGTCTCGAAAAATTCATCTTCAGTGTATTCGTTCCAAACTTATCAAAATATCAGTATCAGTCGATCCCTATAATTTATTCATGTGAAGGACGATGTCCATTAACCTGGAGCAAAAACAAACTATTGGCTCTGTTCTTTCTTTTTTAGGATTTCTAGAATACATATATATTTTTCGATAGTGTGGTTTCCTCCTCCGAAATTTATATAGTTTATTTTTTGAAGGTATATGGTTCATCGGCTACTATTAGCTGCTTTGGGTAGGAGAGAGTTAGACGACAGAGATCATTACGGTAACAAAAGGTTGGATTTGGCAGGTCCGCTATTGGCTTTCTTATTTAGAGGGTAAGTAAAGTTTTCTAATTTGATAATTTTTTGCTGTAATTCTTGTTTTTAGCTTATTTAAAAACCTTATGAAAGAAGTACGGATGTACGCCCAAAAATTCATAGACAGAGGCAAAGATTTCAATCTGGATTTAGCCATAAAAACAAAACTTATCACCGACGGCTTACGGTACTCACTCGCTACAGGAAATTGGGGCGATCAGAAAAAAGCCCATCAAGCGAGAGCCGGGGTATCTCAGGTATTGAACCGTTTGACTTTTGCTTCGACTTTATCCCATTTGCGACGTGTTAATTCCCCGATCGGTAGAGACGGCAAACTTGCCAAACCTCGTCAATTACACAATACCCTATGGGGTATGATTTGTCCCGCTGAAACCCCGGAAGGCGCCGCAGTAGGTCTGGTGAAGAATCTCGCACTTATGGCTTATATTTCTGTCGGATCTCAACCCTCTCCCATTCTGGAGTTCTTGGAGGAGTGGTCTATGGAGAACTTGGAGGAAATCGCACCTTCTGCTATAGCGAATGCCACGAAGATATTCGTCAACGGGTGCTGGGTATATTTTAATAAAAATCCTCTCTCGAATTGTTATAAAATTTTCTAAACTTTTTTAGGTCGGCATCCACAGAGATCCGGAACAGCTTATGGCTACACTCAGAAAGCTCCGACGTCAGATGGATATTATAGTGTCGGAGGTGTCGATGATCAGAGACATCCGAGACAGGGAAATTAGGATCTACACAGATGCGGGAAGGATTTGCAGGCCTCTGCTCATCGTGGAGAATGGGCAGTTGCTTTTAAAGAAACGTCATATCGACATGTTGAAGGAGAGAGAATATAACAACTATGGTTGGCAGGTGCTTGTGGCATCAGGTGAGGTTTTAATCTAATTATTTTGCTGTTTGGTTAATTTTTATGTTTACGTCCATTGTATTTTATAGAGTTTCAGCTATTTTTTAAAGGTTTATCCCTTGGATATTTTATAATTTGTGCAGGATAGGGTTAGTACTAAAACATGAATGTCGGAATCTGTTTTGTAACGACTAAATCTTATATTTTCCTGCAGAAATTAGAAACTGGAAATAACACATAATAAAGGGAATATTCTGTATTTTCATCAAACAACAAACCCGTTAAATATTGTTTATGACTGTATTTCGAACTTTAGGGGAGGTTAATTACAAAACAGTTTTAGCAGGGTGCAAAAAATCTGATGAAGTAGTTCAAATGTCTCAGTTGGATATTTAATTAAAATTTATATATTCCATGGTGTAAATATCTTTCTTAATTTCATATTAATTGAATCGGCAATGATTTTATTTTATGTAAAATGAATTTGTAAAAAAAAGATTCTATACATATATACAGGGTGTTTCATAATGATGAGCAAATATTTTAAGGAGGTGTTTAAAAACTAATTTTAGGGGGTACTTCCAATACATTTTTTCGATTTGAGACCCCCCCCCCCAGAAAAAATATTCAAATCTCAAAATGGCCGAAAAATTAGCTTTTATTTTTTTTTATTAAATTTTTATAAATTTTATAAAAAATTTTCCCAAAAAGCATGTCAAAAATGACGATCGTTTTTGGTAACTGTTATACTAATTAAGTGTATCTAATCGGCAAGGAAAAATAATTTATTTTTTTGCTTGTAAACCATTAAGTATACAAAAAAACGGGAAGACTAAAAAAGTTTCTAAATGAAATGTAGTATTAAAAGCTATTTTTCTTGTTGGAATTGGCTAATGTAGAAAAAAGTTGTGAGAGAAATAAAACCAAGGGGTGCTAATTTCTTTCATTCAGACATAAACCAGAAAAAAAAAAACTATCAAAAAATACCATTCAACTAGTTGTTAACCCTTTCACTGCTCCAGATGTATATATTCGCTAAAAATTTATAGGGCTCAAACTGCTCCAGACGGATTAATTTGCATGAATAGTTATTGGATCAGGCTGCTCAAACCGTATATATATATTTGCAACCATGCGCATCAGTGACTCGGTCATTGCAATTGGTAAGGCGAATTTTTGCGGGCGAGCTTATACCGATTGTGACAAATATTTTTATGGAAAAAGGTACTGGTAATAATACCAAGATTGTTCATGTTTCTTTCAGTTTCTATTTAGCACATATACTGTATTTTATTCAAAATAAAATCGTAAAATTTATCATAAATCGTAATTTAACACAACATAATGTAAAACTATAAGTGGTCTAACTGCTCCAGACGTATATATTCGCACGCGATAAACTTTCGTTACGTTCAGACGTATTGCGCAGCGAAAGGGTTAATGTGTACCAAAATTCAAATTTCTAAGTTTAACCGTTTTCGTGAAAAATAAAAGCTAATTTTTTCGGGCATTTTGAGATTTGAATATTTTCTCAGGGAGGGCTCAATTAAAAAAAAAAATATTGGAAGTACCCCCCTAAAATTACTTTCTAAACACCTCCTTAAAATATTTGCACATCATTATGAAACACCCTGTATAGCATTTGCCGTTTTATGATAATCAAATTAAAGTTATTTCAAGATATGCTATTCCATAATTTGGTATATATTTCAGTTAAAATGATCAAAATTCAAAATAAATTGAAATATTACACCCATTGAACATAAAAATTAGGCCATACAATAAAAATACCCAGTACAGCAGCTGTAAGAACCGATTTCTTTTTCATTTGGCATTGACCCTAGCCCAACAAATAGTTTCACAATCGTGACATATTAGTACTTCTTCGTCACAGTGTAAATCTAGAAAAATCTTTAATAACTGTATGATAGACATAACTGGGAAGAGATATTTTTAAATTTATTTAGATGTAGCAACCCACATTAACACGTAAAACGAGGCTAACACTCTGAAATGTCAAACTGTAACAATAATTCAGACTACAATAGTATAGTCTTTCCGAAGTCAGTTAAACATGTATAAAACGCCTAGCAATAAAATTTAATGAGTTTCATAGGCGTCCCTAAAAAAAGTGTTCTGCTGAAGGTAAAAAATTATAATAACTTAAAAAATTTCTATATTCTATATTTCTATTTCTTTCTAACAACATAATTAATTATGTTAGTTATTTATCTCCTCAAACAATTTTATTATATTGATGTTACATTTAGTTTTCTTCCGTTTCAAAAGGTCTCCAAAATGCCATGTAATAATATTAGTAAAGAAAATATCCCTCTTATTTCTTCCTTTTGCAATTGTAATATCAATGATTGATAGAAGGTGCTTATAATAAATTAAAATTACCTGAATCACACCAAATTCTGCATTGCTGCACTGCACTGCTAGGCTATTTGCTGACAACTGAATTTATGGCCAGGCTGATTAGTGCGGCTATGTTTGTGCCGCGTTTGCCCAAGCGCTCATTTTTCAACTGGGCGACTAGACCTGTATATGGGTATGGCTAAATAAATATGGGAACAAGTTGTTCAAATATTTCAATGCCAAGTTGCTGCGTCAGCGACCGAACCTGGCACATACTGCTAACCTCTTGGTTCTTCAATTGAGATCGGAAAGACTATACAAACTAGTATTTACAAATTAGGGACACAATTTTTGTTGTATTTTAAATATTCTTGTTATTAATATTTATACTTGAATAAAGTTAAGTACAGTTCTGAGTTGCACGGATTTCCACCGATCCCAGTATGGAAATTAAAAACTCCTTCTCGACAGGTGTGGTAGAGTACATCGACACTCTAGAAGAAGAAACCGTAATGATAGCAATGAACCCTGAAGATCTGCGACAGGAAAAAGAATACGCCTACTGTACAACCTACACTCACTGCGAGATCCACCCGGCCATGATCCTAGGCGTGTGCGCCTCTATCATACCCTTCCCCGATCACAACCAGAGCCCCAGGAACACCTACCAGAGTGCTATGGGTAAACAGGCTATGGGGGTTTACATTACGAACTTCCACGTGCGGATGGATACCCTGGCTCATGTACTGTACTATCCGCATAAGCCGTTAGTAACCACCAGGTCTATGGAGTACCTTCGGTTCAGAGAGTTGCCGGCTGGAATTAACAGTATTGTCGCTATTGCCTGTTATACGGGGTATAATCAGGAAGATTCGGTCATCTTGAACGCTTCGGCGGTGGAAAGAGGATTCTTCAGGTTAGTAACATTTAAAAAATTACCACGAGCCCCGATAACTAAATCTTTAGACGACACATTGTTTATTATAAATTTGTTGTAATTTTTAAGTAAAGCCTTCCAAATCCACCTTATACAGGGTGTCCCGAAATTCATGCAACAAAATTTGATCATAGATTCTTAAGACATATTTAGGGGACCCGTATTTTTTCTTTTTGCCAACTGGCTCCCTCTTTCGCGGTTACAGCCCCCTGAAATCTACCCCTATAAAGTCTTTTTTATATCTCAAAACTATGTTGTATGAGAATCACTAAATTTGGTACACGGGTTTTATAACATGTGGAATCTCGCAGTGCTTCGCTTTTTGGCGAGAAACCCCCTTAAGACACTTTTTCATGGCCCCTCCTTAACTTTGAAACCAGAAAAATTTGGTAACAAATTTAATTTTTTTTTTAAATTATTAGAAAGCCATCGAATTTAGAAATTTTTGTCTATTGATATTTTTTTTCGTAAAACGCAATATTTTTGAGGAAAATGGCGAATCACGATATGCATTCGATCGACATTTTTCTCGAAAACATTGCATTTTACGAAGAAAGTATAAAGAGACAAAAAGTTTCTAAATTTAATGGCTTTCTAGTGAACTGATAATTTTTAAGAAATTTAAATATGCGACCAAATTTTTTTGGCTCCAAAGACAAGGGGTCCACGAAAAATTTTCTTAAGGAGGTTCCCTGCCAAAAAACGTAGCACCATCAGATTTCACATGTCATAAAACCCTTGTGTACCAAATTTAGTGATTCTCGTACAACAGGATTTTGAGATATAAAAAAATATTATTCTTAGGGGCGGACTTCAGGGGGCTGTAACTCCGAAAGAGGGGGCCACTTGGCAAAAATAAAAAATATGGGTCCCCTAAATTTGTTTTAAGAATCTGTGACCAAATTTTGTTGCATGAATTTCGGGACACCCTGTATAAGGGTATCCGGAAACAGTACCAACAAATGATAACCTCAAATTCTGTGGATGTTTTTATGCCGATTTGAGCAAAATCACCTTATACAAATATCTTCAAAAGCCTTTAATAGAAAAGATCGAAATACATTCATTAAAATAATTTATACACAAGTACTCCCATTCATTATCAATCATTTTCACAAATAATCATCCCTCTCAAGGGGTAAAATCATCCCCCAAATATACAAAAATTGTTAACAATGTGAAAAAAAAATCAATTGTTTTACGTTATTTACAATTTTTGGATATTTGGAGGATGATTTTACCCGTTTTGAGGGGTGATTATTTGTGAAAACGATTGATAATGTATAGGAGTAGCTGTATATAAATAGTCCAACTTATGTACTTCAGAACATCTTTTTTGGTGCATAATGATTAAATTGGGGTCCTTGTAATGGATAATTGTATTTAGGGGTGGTTTATCCTATTTTGGGGGCGTTTTCCATCTGATGTGACAATTAGAAGTTATACACCTGTCAAACATTAAGTATAATAAAAAAAAATTTCACATTATTTACAATTTTTGTATATTTGGGGGATGATTTTACCCCTTGAGAGGGATGATTATTTTTGAAAATGATTGATAATATATGGGAGTACTTTCTAATGAATGTTTCGAAACATTATTTTTTCATGCATTATAATTATTTTATGTATACTTTGAAGCCAATGGTTGGACTTAGGGGTGGTTTTACCCTCATTTAGTGGGGTTTTCCTTCGGATCTAGTTATTCTGGGTTATTAACAGTTCAATTATCACATATAAAAGAAAAAGAAAAAATTGTAACTTTTAATATATTTTTTGCATTTTTAGGCTTTAGGGGATGATTTCACCCCTTTAGGGATATTGTGGATTGATTTTCAATCCGGACAAGACTGTATTAAATACGAAATTAGATATTTTCATGTACATAATATTATTTTGAAAACAGAAATATTTGGGGTTTTACAACTGTTGATGATTCTTAATTTGTCCACTTTTTTGTTATTTCAACCCCTAAATAAGGGTGATTTTCGAAAATTTTCGAAAAACTGAAAGTGATGCTCATTTTCATTTTTCATGACGAGTATTTGGATATTTTTAGGATTTTCCCTGTCACCTCTGTCAAAGTCTCAAAAACAGGCTGAAAAATGGTCACTCTTGATTACAACGCTAATTATTTTTTAGAATTAAGCATAAAGAAGTTCAAAAAAGTGGTAAACTTTGTATTTTATGGTATTCTCTGCACGTAGTTATGTCAATATTCCTTAATTAATCGAACTTTTGTACACCAAATTGGAGATTTTGATTTTTTTTTGTCGGAAATTGTCGAGTTTAAGACCCGTGTCATATAAGATATTTTGTTTATTTTAATGTGTTCTATCGTCTGTTAACATTAAGGCAGTCAAACTTCTAACACCCTTTATATGAGTAAGGATAATCAGTCAGATTATTTATCGATAACATCAGAAATTAAAAACGAAGTAAAATAAAAAGTTAAAAAACAAACAAATTTTGTAGATGAAAAAATAATCAAATCAAATAAATTGCACAAATTGCGAATGACAACCTGTATTCCCACCCAGTCAAAGATGTCAAAGAACATCTAAATGATTTTGATTGTCATTTCGTAAATTAATGATGCTGACTTCGCAACACTTATTTTTTGTTCATGATAAAAATGGATAAAAAAAATCGAGAAAAAAAAAACGTTTAGTCATACTTTTACTTCCTCTGTCTAAATTAACCCTTACCAAATTTTAATACACCCGTTCTACGCATTTACGAATTTGTTGAAATTTCAGGTCCGTGTTCTACCGTTCATATAAAGATGCCGAGTCTAAACGTATCGGGGATCAAGAAGAACAATTCGAGAAGCCCACAAGGCAAACCTGCCAGGGCATGAGGAACGCATTGTATGACAAACTCGACGAAGACGGTATTATTTCGCCTGGAATTCGTGTCTCTGGCGACGATGTGGTGATAGGAAAAACAATGACGCTACCCGAGAACGACGACGAGGTACGTTTTTCAGGTTATTTCAGTTCGTTCCTCATCATAATTTTTTTTTAGTTGGACGGGACGACGAAGAGGTACACTAAAAGAGACGCGTCCACGTTCTTGCGTAACAGCGAAACTGGCGTCGTGGATCAGGTCATGTTGACGTTAAACTCGGAGGGATATAAATTTTGTAAGATTAGGGTGAGATCCGTCCGTATTCCGCAAATCGGGGACAAGTTTGCTTCTCGACACGGACAGAAAGGTACCTGCGGTATCCAGTATCGACAGGAGGTAAGTTTTTTGAACAATTTGAAAATACGTGTGTGGCAACTATGAGAAAAAAAATTTGCATGTGATTCTACCCACGAAAACTTTTATTATCTTTTAAGAAAATACATATTATATAAAAATGATACAGATTTCTATGACTTTTTCGATATCGTAAGGAACACAATTTGAACGGAGTTATATATAACCAGTAATTTTTTTATAACTAATATTTTGTAATAATTTTTCTCAAATTGGTACACTTTTTATTGGTAAAAAAATTGTCAAAATTCTAGACCTTTTATTAACTAGAAAATGTGTATCTTTGTTATTTGGAAACTTTGCGTCTATCTCGTTTAAAGTCGATGAACGGTTGCCACGAGGCATTTTTTCAATCTTGTTCACCATTTCATCAGTCACGATTGAGGGACCCTCACTCCCTTTGTTCATCATCATCATCAGAAACCGAATTACGCTTCTTACCTCACAGCTGGCGGGATTCGGAATAACGGCACTCGTTTCAATATGCCACTACAACAACAGTTCTCAACTGACTGAGACAAATGAGCGCGCGTTCTGCTCCCAACACCTTGTCTACTTTGTCGAAAACAAAAACCACAGAGCATCAGAAACTTGGATATAAAAATATAACACAAAACATAAAATACACCACAGAAATGAGACAACCCCCAAATCCAAAGTCAAAGGCTGTGCGGAAGGGGGCTACACTTGAAAGAACGTGGACAAATACCCATTTTCCATCGACATTGCTAGTGCCAACGCCAAGGATCGAAACCAGACCAGAATAGGAAGTCTGACCGAGACATGATTGCCACCGCACGCTTGACCGACTACGCTACCGTGGCGATATGCCTCGTATATTGGAATTTTTTATTGAAAATATGTTTTAAATACAATGTAATAATGAAAAGTCCAAAAAATCATTGAAGTAGAGGAATTTTTAATTTCCTGAAGGATAGTAACCCTCTAAAAAAATTGAAATTGTATGCCAATGACATTTTTGACTTCTGATGATTATGTTGAGTTTGTAACAACAAATTTCTATATTTTTCTGCGAGAAGAATAGTTTCGGAGTTATTTTCGATGTAATCAACTTTATCACAGGCTTCTTTTATATTGTAAAAAATAATAGCTCATATAATTGACCGAAATTAAATGTACTTATCCAATATCCAAAATATTCAGTAGGGTTCTTAGTGGCGGTGTTTCCCATTATCTCCGCCACTGGCAACCAGATTTATGTACCAATTCATCAAAATTTTGCCCATAATTATATCATTTATCCAAGTTTCATCAGTATGCATTAATCATCTTCAGAGATATTTAAACAAATGTGATGTAGTTTTTTTTTAATTGAATACCCTATTACAGGGGTCGGCAAGTAATTTTAGGTGGGGTCCGGATACATTTGAAAATTTTTAAAGAGGTCCAGAAAAAAAATTCATATTTCTTATTTTTTTATTTTAATTTGGACTCAAATTTAATCTGCTTACTAACCATTAAGAATTCACACACTCACACAATTGTAAAATACTAGAAAACATTTTTTAAATAATTTATTTGAGTAATTTATACTTTCAAAAAATTTTTGGCGGTCCAGTATTTTACCTTCCGCGGTCCGGACCTGGACCACGGTCCGCCAGTTGCTGACCCTTGCCCTATTATATCCCGAAAACGAAGCGTTTTCGGACGCCTGCTTATAAGCACTTCATTTTATTGATTTATAACCCAGAATCCACAACTAAATTTTGGCAGAGAATACAGGGTGATTCACAGACGGTGACCAAAAATGAAACCTCATATTCTTTGGTCAAATTTAAGGGGAGTCATTCGTATAAAGTTTTTATCCAGGACGCTTCGTTAAAAAGATACAGGGTGTTTAACTTAAAAAAACATTTTTAAATTGCCAGTGTTGCGAGAAACAACTACTCCACAGGCTATATGCCCCGACCGGTATTGAATTACACTCGCAACACCTAGTGCAACAGCTAGGATTGCTCATCAGTCTAACCCATCAGGCACAGACTAGTTTCAGACTTAATCGTATTAGTCCTCATCAGTGTGTCATAGGTGAGACAACCGACGAACGATCCAGCTGTTATAGTGTCACATACTTACGACAAAGAGGTACATAGTACACGAAGCGCAAATGGCTCCATCTGTCGTGCTGACTTCCCACTATGCGCTTTGCGTACTTAAAATAATCTGTGGCCTAAAATTTAGATGCTCCAGTGGTAAAGATACAGAGTATCGGTGGCATATTTTTCTAAATAAAATAGTATGCTACTGCTTCAGGGTAACAATCATGATATTTTCGGATTTATCTTTCAATTGTCTACAAATTGCTACTCTTGTTTTTCAAAAAAAGTCTAAGTTTCGAGTAAAACTTAAAAAATGCCTTGAACAATGTTTACATACATACATGTGTCCAATTTCAAATTATTTCACTTACTAGTTTTTAAATTATTTTAAAAAATTAAAAACATTTTTTAAATTTTTTTAAGTTTAACAAAGCGTCCTACATAAAAACTTTATACGAAAGACTTCCCTTAAAATTAACCAAAGAATACGAGGTTTCATTTTTGGTCACCATTTGTGAATCACCCTGTATAACTAATTCCCTGCAAACTCCACTATTATCGATCTTTCGAAAAACTGTCATAGGAACCTGCACCCTTATTTTTAAAGTATATTTTTCAAGGGTAACACCCATTTTATTTTCCAGGACATGATTTTCAGTTGCGAAGGAATAACCCCCGACATCATAATCAACCCCCACGCTATTCCCTCTCGTATGACAATTGGTCACTTGATCGAGTGCATCCAAGGGAAAGTATCGTCCAACAAGGGCGAAATCGGTGACGCTACCCCCTTCAACGATGCGGTAAATGTACAGAAAATCTCGACCCTCCTCCAGGAATACGGCTACCAACTGAGAGGAAACGAGGTCATGTACAACGGTCACACCGGTAGGAAAATCAACGCCCAGATCTTCTTAGGGCCCACTTACTACCAGAGACTGAAGCACATGGTAGACGACAAAATCCATTCGAGGGCCAGGGGCCCCCTGCAGATCCTCGTCAGGCAGCCTATGGAGGGTAGGGCGAGAGACGGAGGTCTGCGTTTCGGGGAGATGGAACGGGACTGTCAAATTTCGCACGGAGCGGCTCAGTTTTTGCGGGAGAGGCTGTTCGAAGTGTCGGATCCCTACAGGATTCACGTCTGTAACTTCTGCGGGCTGATCGCTATAGCTAACATGAGGAATAACACCTTCGAGTGCAAGGGGTGCAAGAATAAGACGCAGATTTCGCAGGTTAGGCTGCCGTACGCCGCGAAGTTACTGTTCCAGGAGCTCATGTCTATGAATATAGCGCCGCGATTGATGGTTCTGTAATTATCTACTTTAGAAATTATGTTTGACTCAAGAATGTTCATAGTTTTGTATCAAGTGTTTTATGTTTTTACCGTTTCGTATTCCTTCTTGTACCGGTTACAAATATGTAAGAAATAAAATATTTTAATCAATGGTTTGAATTTTTTTCTATTACTGGTAGTTTAAAATGATATTTGAAACTTTCTAAAAAGTTACAGTAAAAGTTTTTCATCATTTCTCGATTTGTCAGTTTCCAGCTTCGGTGTTTCCTTTCATGTCATATGCGTGGAAGTGGGAAAAATCATTTTTTATATTTGTCTCGGGGCCTGTTGATTTGGCAAAAATAGTTGGGTTAAATTTTAACCATTTCCATTAAGTTTAGATGTTGAAAAGTTAGTTTTAAAGGTTCGTAAATTGGTGCTGTTAAACTAGTTCTTTTTGTATAAATTGAAATCTGAAGAGGTAAAATATGGAATTCGATGGATTTACTCACCTGGTACTTGTTGAAATTGACGAGAATAATAGACAAATGTAAGTTTACATTGAAAAATTCATATAATTATCAAAATGAGGTTAGATAATTCTATTCCGATTTTCTATTTTCTTCCAGAAGAGAAAGCCGACTATATCAGAGGAACTTCGTGATAAGAGTGATCTTTTCGAGTTGCCAGTAGGGTTACCAGATCTATTTCATGACAGACCCGGAGACATGACCCATTTGTATAATTGATTGAGCCAGACGTAACATTTTCAAAGTTGTTTCCTCTTAATAAAACATTCTTGTCAGCAACTAGTTAACAGCTTAACTGTACACTTAAATCAACCTATAAGGGCAACCAGAATTCTTCCACACGTTCGAGTTTTAATAACTGATTTTTTTTGGACAAGGAAGTTATCAGCTCTCAGTTGGTCACGGATAGAATTTTTCAGTGAGCCAACCCGCAATATGCAGATGTGTTAGATAAATATCAGACGCTATAACAACGTTTTTATTACCTGACTTGATAAAGTTCCCTATCAATATTAACGAAAAAGAAGAAATAATGACTGGATTCAGACTTCAGAGACATCAACTATCAACAATAAAAAGTTAGGTTAAATATCAATACTTTGTCTTCTTCTTCTTCGTGAAATTGTTTGAGCGCGTTTGAACTACAATTTTCGAATAATAACGATCGCTTTAACGGACACGCTAAAATTTTAACTGTTAACTAGTTGGTTAAAACGAGAATTTTACAGAATAGAGAAACATGGTAAAATCCAAATTCAAATTTAATCCAGGCCCTATTAGCAGCTAATAGCAACCCAGAGTTACTCTGAATACACTTGCAAATTCTACGGATAAAGACGGAATTTAAGTCTATTCTATTTGGGAAAAAAATGTGCTTGTAAACCTGGTCAAGTACGTATAAATGTTAGCCCTTCAATACAGAAGAAGAAGGAGAAGCTGACTTGACAGTTAATAAAAAATAAATAAACAAATGTCAGTTGTCATTACTGTCATATACGTGTAAAATTTATTAATATTTAAAAAGGATTTTAAATGATTTGTGTTTATTTTAAACCTATATAGGTTATTAGTTAAGCGTTTATTATAAAGCAGAACAAAGTATCATATATATTTTTCTGGCAATGGCAGAGAAAAAGTCCAACCCACTGGACATAAATGGTTCAACTTTTAATCCTAATTTATACTTAGAAAAATTATTTAAGGTCAGTTCATGCATACTTTTATTTCTAACTATTTAAAATTTTTTAATATTTTAGGAATGTACACTTCGTCAAGTAATGGATCATGAAAATGAAATCATTAAGGACACCCAAACGTTACACTCGGATATGCAGACTCTAGTCTATGAGAATTATAACAAATTTATTTCTGCCACTGACACAATTAAAAAGGTAAAATGTTATTTAGGTACATTAAGGCGTCTTACATGTTTATTTCAGATGAAAAACGATTTCAAGAAAATGGAAACTGAAATGGACTTATTGGCTTCTAATATGGCATCGATAACCTCTTTTTCTGATCAGATTAATTCCACGCTTCATGACACAAGGGAAAAGATTAGTAAACTTTCGGGTGTACACACTTTATTGCAGCGACTGCAGTTTTTATTTAAATTGCCAGCCACATTGAAATCTCGAATGGAAGAAAAAAATTATATTCAAGTGAATAATTCTCGGTAATAATTAGCTTTTTTTATATAATCTTTTTTTTGTAGGCCACACAAGACTACTTGCATGCACAGAGAGTTTTACAACAATATGGAGACTTGCCTTCCTTTCAAGGTATAAAAACTGATTGCGAGTCAATTCTCAAGGAACTGAAAACTGAATTACGAAAACAGTTTTGCAATTCCAATGCCTCGGCCAAGGAATTGACTGAATCGGTGGACCTACTCCTGCAATTAGATGAACCTGCAAAGGAATTATGTTTAGAATTCTTATCATGTGCAGAAAAACGTTTAAGTGAGCAATTGGTTATGTTGAAAGATCAGAGCGAGCAGAGGGATATCATCGAATTTGTCGAATTGGGTTGTTCGGGATTTTTGAGCGATTTGTGTTTGGTTATTGCATCTTTTCACGATATGTTCATTAACAGAGTTAATGCAGACAATTTAGAAAACAGGTAAAGAGTTTGTACAATAAAGCGAATTTTGTTGGCCAATAACAAATAATTCCTACTTTTTTTCAGTGAAATATTTGAGAATTTCGCTGCTGTGGAGCTGCATTCCTTTGTAAAGACGAATATGAAAAACTATTTTGATCTGGTTCAAAGTAAAGTTGATTCGGAACAGGATGTTGGGGATACCAGTGTCTTAGTTCAGGCTTTAGATAGATTCTACAGGAGGATAGAAGCAAATACGTTGTGCAAAGATATCGATTTTGCAAAGTAAGTTAATTTTATTATATACAGTATGTTATTAACAATTGTGTTAGGTTTAGCGAAAACAGCTACTTGATTAATTCAACCATTTTTTCCAGTACCGCTACAGAAATTGTCATAAATGCTGGGCGGAAACAATGCAAAGCTCATCTCCAGATCCTCAAAATGCATTTTGCGGATATGTTGACTAAAGTAAGGCAAACCTTAACAACGCCTAAGCTTATAAGCCAAGAGGATTCATCGAAGAACCTAAATGAGTTGCTGAACTCGTTAATAATGACTATAGTTGAAAAAATAAAGGGAGTTTTGCAGGATTTGGTTGTTAGTATAATTCACATTTTCAAAAAACAAAGCATGAAGATGTACTTTTAGGTTTTTATCCAACCCGAGATCAATTTCGCACAGAAACCTCAGTTCAAAGACAGTTTCTGTGTCGACAATGTGCGAGAGGGTCTTATAGTATGTTTCATGCACCACTTCACAGCGACAGCTCGAAGTTTTTGTTCAACGGGCGCTGCAGATCCTAAAGTACCTCCAACGTTGCTTCTTCTACTGTCGAAGCTCTGTTTGGATTTCAGGAATGGCAGTGTGCACTTTTTGGTAAATTTATATGACAAAACTTGACAAAAAAGTTATCATGGTGGTTTTTTGATAGTTATCGCAAACCGATGAGCTATTCCAAATAAATCCAAAGCAAAATACAGCGTTGACCACTGAGAGTGAGATCAATAGCACCATGCAGGAATCGGCGCAGGAACTTCTTAATTATTATGTGAGGATTCAGGGTCTTAATTGTTCGCAGGTAATTTTCTAAAACAATACTCGCATGTAGATTTGCACAACACTAAAAATTGATTACAGTTAATTTTTCATGAATCTTTAAAATTAATTTCATGAAGTTTTTTTTAATTATGGCCACTACACTCTTAAATATAAAATCTCTTTTCCACAAATAAATTCACAACAATTTTCTGTTCGATATTTAAGTTCTTCCATATTTAAAATATGTTTTTTTTTGAGTTGGCTATGAATCTTTGACCTGCTCTGTTGTTCTCGAGCTAAGCTCCGTGGGGACAGACCCCAATCAAAACCACTGAGTTCTTCCATATTATCAATTCTACATTGTGATTAAATAATTTGTTCAAATAACCCCAAAGAATGAGATCATAAGGATCACCTAGTGTTTAAAATTTTATTCTTCAATTTGTTGCTTCTTTGAACAGCTTGTATTACAACATATATAAACTAAGTTAACAAATACTTCACTGTTTGTTAATTTCTTAACAGAAATCTTTTTTGCATATAAACGAGATGCTGCGACTGCACTTTGCCAACATTCCTCGTAAATTAAAAGCATGGCTATGAGTTTTTTTCATATGTTTGATTTTTCACATAACAAAAAATCACACCGAGAAAAACATTACTTATACTTCGTTATTTTTTATACTGGGTGTAATTTTACAAGGGGTCAGTTTTTTTCGAGGTAATAATTCATTTATGAGAAATTTTGATCCATTCTAAGTGTTGTGTTAATTTTGATATGAAGTTTATATTTAAAATCGGTGAAGAAATAATTTATTTCATTCGCTTTGTGCAGATGTTGAGGAAAAGCGTTGAAACCAGGGACTGGTTACATACTATCGAGCCAAGGACGGTACGTGCCGTCATGAAAAGGGTTGTAGAGGACATCTCCGCAATCGATGCCACCGTTGCCTTGTTGTACGAAGATCAAGGCACTGCTACTGAACATTCCAGCGATTCTAGTCGCAAAACACACAGGTATAATTATTTTGTATTGCCGACGTTCTTCCATCTCCATCTTGTGTATAATTTTATTGTAGTATATCAGTTTCGAGACATCAGTACCGATCCAACTGGTCCAGTTACACACCTAACCACCTCGACTCAACTCTGGTCTCGAACATGCATAAGCTTTTCAGCGAACGAATCGAAATATTCTCTACGGTAGAGTTTAATAAAGTGTCGATACTGACAGGTATTATTAAAATCAGTCTGAAGGTACCAACGCTCTTGTAGATTCATGTGAAAGTCAAATTAGTTAAATGAGAATTATTTCAGACCTTTATGGAGTGCGTCAGGCTAAAAACCTTCAGTAAATATGGACTGCAACAGATCCAAGTGGATACTCACTATCTCCAGTTGTACTTGTGGCGATTTGTGGCCGATGAGAAGTAAGTGTAGTAATCAGCTTTAATACCAATATCTTTTTTTATATATTTCTACGGTTAGACAACTAGTTAAACTTAGTTTAGTTCTTTCTTTAACTGTCAAAACTAACCAGTAAAGGATAATTTTGACTGTTTTATACAGAGAGATCCAGAATGATTGAAGCATTTGGGGAACGATATTCATCAGTTCCTGAATACACGTAAACCATTTTTGACATTGAAAAACTAATGTAAACACTATCGCAAAAACATTAATACTAACATCGGATTTCAGTATTTGGAAATCGAGTGTCGAGTTTTTTAATAGGTATTTGAAAAATGCGTAATGATAGCCTCAAAATTTTTGATAGTCATTCCTACATTCAATACTTCACTATGGTAGATTTGACTTTTTCTTTTTTGCATACCCGGATCGATCTTCACATTTTTGCTTTACTCTCCCATTATTGGAGCGGCGTTGACCTTTTATAGAAAGTGGTTCTGTTTCTGCATTCTGCTACCTCGCACTATTGGCCAGCGTTACTGTTAGTCGTGCAGCAGCTCCTTTGGTCCTTGGATTTTATACTATTCGGCCGGAAAATTTGCAAGATCAGGGATTTTCTTGTTGTCCGCGACAATCTTCGGTTGTTTCTAAGATGCCTACGAAGTAGTGACTTGATCGATTGTTTCGACACTGCAGTTTAAAAAATCCCTGAAATTTTGACGGGACGTCAGTAAAAACGTTTGTGGGTATTGTAGATCGTTCCAGCAGGAAAATTCGAAATATAAGTGATCAAATCACTCACCGGCATCGGCAGGCTTAAATAACGGCTGCTGATTGATCGGTTGACCTTGGGACAACTTTAGCTCTGGCGGGGATTTCGATCTTGTAATTCAAAAGATGGGCGAATTATGAAGCTTCTTACATGACAACAACAACAGAAGTTATATTTTAAGAAAGGGGCTGAACTTCCTAATATGTACAACATCGATGATTAAAATGCAGAATTATTAGAAATTTTGTAAATACGGATATAACTGTTTCAAATTTTATGAAGCTGTTATTGTGCATCATAAATATTAAAGGAACTTATTTTTTTGCAAACGGTGCATTTCTGGGAGAAGGTATTTACATTTTTTGTTCATTTTTACCTGTATATGTGGTTTACTACTTTTGCCTGTACTATTTTTTATTTCAGTCTTGTCCATTTTCTGTTGGACGAAATTTTGGGGTCGGCGGTTCATCGTTGCCTAGAACCCGTGTTAATGGAACCCAGTGTTGTTGATATAATATGTGAAAGGGGTTAAGTGGGAATAAGTTATAATTTTGTACCTGTAAGCATCAAACATGTTTTATGTTTAACAGCTTATTTGTTTGAATAAATAATACGAGAATCTGATTGTTTTCATGTAAATCCAAATTAAACCAAATAAATCGGATTTTACTTCTATGAGATTTTAGTTGCATAATAAAAAAAACAAAACAATATGTGAGTGTCTGATAAAAAAAACTAAGGAAATGTATGGAAATATAAAAAAACCCTCATTATCTGTGACCCATTTAATAAATAAATAAATAAATATAAATAAAAGTTACTGCTAAATATTCAAATATTCTAAATTATCCTAATAATTCCTTCCATTTCTATTGAGGTAACTTAGAAGCGCACTGGATAACTCTGGATTCCTTTTCCCCGGGAATTTGTTTTCTCCATTTCCATACAAGAAGTTCAAGGCGCTACTTAGCTCGGCGTTCCGCCTTTGGACGTCTTGAAAAACAATGTTGGGGTGCATCTCTGAGAGTCTTGGCAAGTAGAGTCCTAGTGCGCACAGTTCATTTTTCTCAGGTTGTGGTATCTGAAACAAAAAAACAATCAACTGTATAAGCCGTTTCCTTTTTAAGATACGTAATCATGATCAGAAAGCACTCTGATTGGTGGATAGTATTATGTTTGTGATTATGCTATATTAGCCTTATCCAAACATGACTGAAATTTTAGTCTGAGACGGTTTTTATATCTATATATCTGGGGCGGCGCCCAACGTAGAAATTTTCTTGGTAAAAAATTTGATTTAAAATATAGTTTACAATGTTATCTGAATAATTAAATAGATTGTAATATGTAATATAGCAGGGCTCCGCATAGCTCGCTCCTACATCGTAAAGTATTTACAACGGTGGTCATAGTTACCGTATCGCAGCAATGAAAGACGGAGTGGGAATAGCGCATATTTACCATGCGGTTTATTTGGGCTCTGTTTAGTCCAACTGTAACCAAATAGTAGCTATTCATGGCTTTTTTTCTTATTAAACGTAGTTTGTTCAGGTGTGATGTAAAATTCTGTTATTACTTACGTATTGTTTATTGTTTTTTAAAAAGTGGTAAAAGAGTAAATTGATTGTAAAAACAGACTAACAGCACTTGCAATGGTGCGAGAAATATCAAACTTTAATGGAAAAGTAATTGAAAAGTTTATTAAAGACTCCTGCATCACTCTCTTGGAATTAACCGCATTCGACACCTGAGATAGAAAGTCATGTCCCTGCTGCTATAAATTGTTACAGTAGTTTTGATAATAGAACTTAATTGGCTTAGTCTTTTCTTAGAATACTATCTCACCAGAAATCGTACAGACTATAAGTGTAATTTAAATTTTAAACATTTAAAATATGACAAAATTATTTAGTTACGGAAGTAAATTAACAAATAAATTTAAACTGTTAATACTAATTAAAAACAAATTCTCAGTTCTGAAAACAAAAACAGATTGATTTTCAAAATTTTAATAATTGAGTGAAATATGTTATTATTATTCAACATATATTATAGCAAAGTGTATTTTTTATTTGTATTCTTTTCTTTAGATCCAGATTTTTAGTTTAGTAAATTAGCTTCACAAATAACTCTTGAGTGGTCCTTTTGGCTTTCGGCATAAGTTTTTATTTCATTATTTTTTTTACAAGAAGCAAAGTACCCAAATAAACAGAAAGAAAAGTTTGAAAAAATTATGAAATTCACAGAACTGACTACAATTTTGGAGCATAGGCAACACAACATACCACTTTGTTACGAAAGATGCATACGTATAAAATTATGTACGTATTACCACATATCTAGATAGATATGTGGTATTATAATACGTGGTTGTGGGCTTCAAACAATTTGATTTTTAAAAACATTTTCGTTTTGGCAAAAGTTGAAAATGAAGATCAGCGTAATATTATCGGAATTTATTATATCTGTAACCGTAACTGTGAAAGAGCATGTTAAATGTATTTGTATGAATATCCCGAAAAAAATAAATCGGAATTTGTTTGAATTTTGAGCACTCGAGAAGCCTAGAAATAACGATAATTCAATAAAGAAGATAAATTTGGAACGAATACACTGAAGATGAATTTTTAGAGACAAAACGTCTAAATCTGGCTAGGGCTGAGGCAGTACAGTATTGGGGGTCATGAAGGCTTGCAAAAAATGTAATAAAATTTCCAGGGTCGTATTTAAAAAAAATGAAGTACATGATGGTCCTGCAGAGACGAAACGTTACATATAAAAATTGATTATGCCATTCGATAGAGGGCAAAAAGTGGTCATGAAAAAGTGTTCTTTTTTCAATATCACCTCAAACAAAGCTGAAATTAAACAAATACGGATTTTTAAAATTTCGTTTTTTTTTCAAAAATATTTCGAAAACTAATTATGTTAGCCTTGATTTTTTAGAGGCATAATGTTGGTCCCTTGATTACGCAACTTTGCCCATATTTAAGCTACTTCGTACCTCTTACCGTTTCCGAGATCCCTGTAGTGAGAAGCGAATTTATAAAAGCCTCTATACGAGTATACTAAAATATTTATTTATTTTAAAAATTTATATACTTGGAAATTTGAAATACTAAAAATTGAAATATTTATAATTATGTATTATACCTATTTATAGTTTTAAAATAGAAAATTTGAAATTTAAAACGTATCCTTCATATGCCATGAGTACCTACATATTTTTCGAACATACATATATGTGTAGTTTACTGAGTAGAAAGAGACAGTTATATGTAATTTTAACAATTTTTTCCATAGATTATCGATACAATTAAGTAAGACGAGGAAATGAATCACTTGATTAATATTTATACCTACAGATTCGATGCTGTGTAGAATTATCTTAATCACGTTTGATTTTTATTGCACTTGTTTTCCCAGAAAATTGCTTTGGCGACGTTTACATAACTATACCCAGCAAGGTTAAGTATTAAATTAAAATTAATCGTAAAATTGAAGTGCCATGAGTTCATACAACTGCGAAAAGGGAATGTTTAGATATACATAAATACATATACAGGTTGGCCCATAAATCGCCAAGCAAAGTATGTACCTATTTTCATGGTTTTGTACGTTATATTCTGCAATAATAAGCTCTATTAAATAGACTGGAAATGCAAAAATTCATAAACCTTCTGGTTGAACCTTTGTTTTTTTTGTGAGATTACCTTTAACATCCTCTATATTTATAATATTCAAAAATACATGAAAATGGGTAATATTAGTAAATAATACTAACAATTTAAATTCTTTCACGTGCCACTTCGTATATCTCTACTGGGTGATTCGTGTAACTTATTTTTGTTGTGATTTCTATATTAATATAATTTATAAGAGTAAATGAACATATACAGGATGTAGAAATTTAACAATTTGGGAAAAACGGAAACATTGGAAAACTTTAAATTTTTTGAAGCAAAAAAAATAAGAAAAAATGAAAAAGTCGAAACATTTTTTTCTAAATGTGAAAATGAATGGTGATAAAATAATTTCTAAATTTTATTTTCAATTTTTCAAATATAAAATAATTATTTTATTTTGGCAAACATATTCTCTATATCCCAGATATTTAACAAAAGTCCAATTTTGCCGAGTTTTTCCGCTTTTTTACCTATTTTTCTGGGAAAAAAACTGATTTTTTCATAGGCCCAATTTTTCCGTAAATTTTGGACTTCCGACTGGGAGTAAAAAAAATAGTGTTTTATTACATTCTAGATACAAATCTTAAAATATTGGTTTTCTGATTATACAGGATGTAAGAAAAATAATGTGCAAACTTTGAAGGATGGTAATTTACCCAAAATAAGGGCAAAAGTTTCTAAAAGTATGCTCTCTATAATTCGTTATACCTTAAAAGATAAATTAAAATTGAAATTGAAAAATTTTATTTTAATTCATCAATGCTGCTAAGAAAATGTTATTTCATCCGACTTTATCTTTTACAAAACTTATCGACATAATTGTTTCATCTGTATTTAAGAATATAGGTTTCATCATAAAGGAATTACTTTGTCAGGATTTCTATATACACTACGATTGGATTCGCTCGAAATTGTATTTAATTCTGTCTCTTTTCTCCTTCTCTCCTTTTTTCTTTTTTTTCTTTTTTGTTATATTTTAATAATATAGTTAGCATATCATATTATTGTTGGGCATCGCCTGTTGGATGTGTATTTTGTTTTTTAAATAAATTGAATTAAATTAAATTTTATTCATGTTCATGTCAGTTTAATAATTTTATAAAAGTTTGAGAGAAAACGTTTTAATCTGGAAATTATCAACAAATACAATTTGTTCAATTTTTGGGAACCAAAATGTGGTTTTAATACAATTTTTGTTCCCCATATCGAGTATATCTAACACCTACAAGAAATTGGGTTTTATTTATTCTGTTTTTCATTTATTATGCCTTTTCACGTAATCTTTTATTGTTTTCTCCTGCCCTTTAATTGGATTTGTATCTGTCTGGGCAGCTGTATTTAAAATAAAAAATAAAATAATGAACTAATTATTCCTCAATTGTTTAAACAATTATTTACGCTCGAGTGTCATTGAGTTTATTGATTCAAACAAAAGTGTAAAATTGTTCAACTCTCTAAATTTTTAAATATTGTTCTGAAATAGTTAAAAATTAAAAGTTACACTACGTTTTATTTTGACGTCGCCGTCGTCGAATTTTACCTAAAATGGGTTTGAAAATTGAATGAATTTTGTGTAAATCGCAGCTTTCTTGAATGACTATCCTTCTAAATGTAACTTTTTCTATTGAAGTTTGTTCCACTATTTTGACATTCTGTATAATCAGAAATTGAAATATCGTTTGAAAAATATAGTAAAAAACCTTATTTGTTAAAAAAGTTGGGGTCTATATTTGTTTTTTTTTTTTGGGAAATGTTACTCTGGAAAAACTTAAACAGTTATACTAATTCAAAATTATTATCTTTGTAAAAAGAACTCGTTACTTATAACTAAAATGAAGTGATTGAATTTGTTTTTGAGTAGGTACTTATTGTTTAGAACTGATAGAAATCTAAAGTATAACTTCTGTAATATGCGCTTTGTATAATAAAGAATTTTAATAGAAGTTACATCTTTGTACTCACGTTTAAATCCTCACACCTTATGGGCGCGGTGTACGACGAAGATAGCTTGACTACCATGAAAACTACCAGCAATTTGTACAACATTTTATTCCTGAAAAATAACACTCAATTAATTTTAATATAAGTTAAGCTTGAAGATGACATTCTATTGTTCTTAGTGGAAACATTTCTGATGGAAAATATTAAACGATTATGATTTCTAATAAATTTCTTACAAGGAGATGATAATTTGCGTGACGAAAATTAATTAATACGGAGTATACATCATTGAAGTGTAAAAACGTATTTATAAAATTGATTATCAAGAAACAATGTACCTAGAAGATATATTCAATGAAAAATGTGAAAAAATGTGTTGTTTTATAAATAAAAACTATCTGATTAATCCTTCAGCTCATTCGTGAAATTTTATATTATAACAGAACATACAATGCAAAAAACATAACCTCAAAAAAGTCAAACATCACTGGGAAAGGTCGTAACTAGCGACCTCTACCAGCCAGTCAAAATTTAATGACATTTACGAAATTAGCACTCTCAAACACTTGCCCGTACCAAATTCTAGCCCATTACATTGTTTTTTTTGGAGCTCAAATTAATTAAATTTAAATCATTAATTGAAATTAATTATATTTAAAAAAGTGAGCCCCTAAATGTATGGTACATTTTCCCTAAGACATCCTGTATACGAAATAGATTTATTTCGGAAAAGTTATAGTTTCTATTTTTCGAAAAATCAATTGAAACCAAATAATAAGCTTGAAGTATAAACTTTATCGTGATATTCAACTGCATTTTGACTATTTTGTGGTTTGAGAAGCAACAGACTTTGCTGGGTCCATCAAAAGAAGAAAACTGAACAAGATTGGCCTAATGTACAGTGTTTTTACATTTTTGGCTTAATTTGATGTTTTAAGAATCTACAAATACCGGTTGGGTAATTTTGAAGATGCATGTTTTGGAATCTCAAGAACTATAAGAGAGAAATGGTTAAATGGGAAAATATTTTGACTGTTCTGTTGTCAATTCAATGATGCTTGTAGTAGACCAGGGACATGAGAAAAATGCCGTGACTGTTGAGTAGCCAGGGATCTGTAAAGCTTTTCATAAAATTTGGGTAAATTTTAGTATAATATGTGAGGTTTTTAATAATTAACAATAAAAGGTCTAAAATAACCCAAAAAATCACTTTTTGCCTACCAGAAAAAAAAACGATAATTTTTATTATAATGTGAAAGTAACCAACTTGTAGGGAATAAAAAAACCTTTAAAATGGCGGTTTTTAAAATCCGAAACGATAATTTGTTGCTCGGGAAATTGGAAAAAACTGTCAAAATTCGATTATATAATTAAACAATAAGTTTTGCAAAAGTCAATCTACGATTTTGATATTGCATAAATAGTTGGCTTTTATAGTCCTTAATATGTGATTAAAATTTCAGACAGATTCATCCAGTAGTTTTTGCAAAATTCTAAATATTTATCCCAGAGACATTATTTTTGCAATAACTTGATACGCAAAATTACCAAGATATTTTAATTCTGCGGGTGTCATATGAAAGAGAAAGGCTTCTTTTATTGGAAGAAATTATTTTATTGCAAAAAAAAATGTTTTTTACCACTGCAAAAACGTACTACAAAACACTGTCATTTTTGTCTTAAACAATTAGAATAAATTTGTTGCTATTATATTTAGAGAGATTATTTTTCCATATTTGTAAAGCTGGTATTTTTGCACAAATTTAAAAAATCACAAAAATTTAAATCACAGCTACTTTGTTTATAACAATTAAGACTTATAATAAGTGCCAAATCGAAGATAAAGAGCTAAAGTTTCTATGTGAAATTTTTGAAGACGATAGCTTTGTAACAGCATCTCTGATAATGCTCCAAATAATGACTTCGATATAAGATGACTGTCAGTCAGTGGAGGGGGAACCTACAAATCCACCAGCAAATTTGTAGAGCAAGTTATATCTCTGGAACTTGTCGACCGATTTTGATGTTTTTTCTTTTAATTTGGGGTACCTTCTTGCGTACATCACAAATATGCATTTTGTTAATAAATAAAAATTGAAATTAATCCAGTAATTTGTTTACACATTAGATAGATAGATCAGCTATCGTTTTCGAGAAATTTTGAAAAGAATAAACTTAATTTTTGTATTTTTACGTTTTTGAAATCTGTAAAAATTCCGTTTCAGCAACTTTTTGCAAGGAAATTCATTGTGAACTCAGATTTTTACTTTGGGCGCCAAATAAAATTGTATGCTGAATAAAAGGAACATTTTTAAGCTTTTCGACAGTTTCTACACGAGTATAAAAAGATCTATGGCGAAAACACATAAGAAGAAATAAAACTGTAAATGTTGTGGTGATGGTTTCCGAAACCGCAACGTCGTAAAAAAACTTTAGTCTTTGCAATGAGTTGTTATAGATTTCAAAAATTGATTAAAATTAATAAGTAAACTCTCTTTTATTCTAAATATCTCGAAAACTTGAACAGCTAAAGTTAGTGACAGAAAAGTCCAAAACTTTCTCTATTTAACCGATTTTCTATCATCGACGGTCCCCGAGATCTGAATACATGCATCATCAAAACGACCAACACGATCAATCAAGCAATACCAAAACAGAAACAGATGCAAGTAGAACAAAAACAATTTTTACCTTATGGAAAGAAAAGTGGGTATCGGAGAATCCTGTGCCGTGAGAGACAGTTGAATAAACCAGTGGAAAACCGCCCCTTTTTGCGGCAGATACTGCGCCTTCAACGGAGCAGACAATACTTGAGGAAGAAAACGTCTTTCTTTCTATATATAGGTGGCAGAGCTGCCCTATGCACACCAATTATCTGAATATGTAGTGTTTGCCTTAATTCGAGTTGTTTATTTAGCTTTATTTAATCGATTCCAGGCACTTGTCCCTTATTGGAAACTTTAATCATCCATAAAATTACACGGCGGTTTCGTTTCTGTGAGAATCGGGACGGGTGACACATCCTGCCTTTAATGCAAATATCAAATTGTTATTTGATAAAAATAACCCGATTAAAACAAATAAATCGGCCAGGGGCTTTGATGTTCCGACTCGAATTGGCTTTTAATTATGTTGATGGGGGTGTACCAGAGATAGTGACTGAGAGGTTCCCGTTATCGATAGAGTGCTGGCGGTCTCCATTATTGGCTAGTTTCGAGGAGGTGGGGGTAATTAAATTTATTTCATTGTTATCTAACAGGGAAAACACAATGTATAGGAACAGGTAGATTGAAACTTAAATTAATAGATACTTCAAATAATTGATGAAGCCATTAAAACTCTACAACACAAGGTGTGTTTCAAAGTAAGCAGGATTTTTAAAAAATAGTCAAAAATAGGTCGTTGTCGGAACGGTTGATCCTTCACTGCTGTACTGTCAAAATTTCATGTCATTTGGACGAATAGAAGCGGATTTATTGCGTCTGAAGTGACGGTATAGACTAGGCGGTATCTGTTTTGGTTTGGGTGAAAAGTATATCCACGGAGATTTTTGGCTTTTTGGCTTTCAAATATTACTAGGAATGAAAATTTTTCTATGCGCATAAAAAAAATGTGGGCTTAACTTTTGGCGGCACAATATGTTAAAAAAATTCGAAAAATGTCATATTTCTCTTCTTATTTAATTATGTATCTTTTCAAGAGTTGATTTTACGCGAAAATGGAAGAGGAAAAAAATGTTTGTAATTAAATTTTACAAAATATGACTAGTTACAAATCGAATGAATTATGATTATTATTGTAAAAATCGAAAAAATCGCCAAAAATTGGAATAAAAAACATTATCTTTTAGGGAATTTTTTTGGGGTCTTAAGTTGGATATTGGACCTTCATCCTTGGTTCAAGAAAAGTTTATGTTATGTAGAATCATCACACCAAATTTCATCAAAATCGGTTCGATATATTTTGCAAAATAATTTTGCAATCCAGATTTTGAAAAAAAATTTGCAAATATTCAAAATTTTGCACAGCAAAAATCAAGGCCCTTAGATACTTGAAAATTTGAACACATATAGAAGGTCTCTCAAGCTTTCAAACGCTTTTTTATTCGAGTCCGTTAATTAGGAGAGCTCTGGCGCTTGTTTAAACATTGGTCGAATTTTTTTACTTATAAACAATTAGAATAACTTTGTGAATATTCAATCAAATCAAATTTTTTAAAGCTGGTTTTAAAAGTTATTGGAAAGACGCTTCTTGAAAAAAAACAGATCGGTTGATAAATTAGTTACGTAGTTATAGCAGATCAAAGTTAATTGTCATTTACAGTAAATGTACTGGGACATCCGGGCTAATTTTTCGAAAAATACCTTTGGTATTCCGGGTTCTTACCAGGTCTAAGTTTGTAATACTTTTCTTCATCTTCATTCAATTATTTATCTTTAAACTTCCTTTAATTATCAACTTTATTTTTTATTGTATCAAAGTAAGTGCATAAACTTATATACTGTTTATCAAGGATCAAACACAAATTTATTTAAATATTCTAAAATTAATTATTCATTTAATCATCTTCTTTTGTGATATTCAAATATTATTTACTGTTTAAAATATAAGCAAATGAGAAATTAACTCATTATATTACAAAAATACAAAATTATAGTACAAAAATTCGACCAATGTTTAAACAAGCGCCAGAGCTCTCCTAAATGACGGATTTGGTTTTTGCTGTGTTGTTTTTGAAAATTTGCAATTTTTTTTCAAAATCTGGATTGCAAAATTATTATGCAAAATCTATCGAACCGAATTTGATGAAATTTGGTGTGATGATTCTACGTAACATGAACTTTTCTTGAGCCAAGTATGAAGGTCCTGTACCCAACTTAAAGACCCCAAAAAAATTCCCTAAAAAATAATGTTTTTTAACCCCATTTTTGGCGATTTTTTCGATTTTTACAATAATAATCATGATTCATTCGATTTGTAATTAGTCATATTTTGTAAAATTTAATTTCCTTTTCCATTTTCGCCAAAAATCAACTCTTGAAAAGATACATAACTAAATAGGAAGAAAAATATGACATTTTTCGAATTTTTTTAACATATTTTACCCACAAAAGTTAAGACCACGTTTTTTTATGCGCATAGAAAAATTTTTATTTCTAGTGATATTTGAAAGCCAAAAAGTCAAAAATCCCGTGGATATACGATTCACCCAAATATGGATTCTCTGAAACAGATACCGTCGGATTACCGGATTAGTATGTTTGTATCACAGTATACTAATCAATCAGTAGGGAATCTTAAATGATTTATGAATGAATTCCGTATGGCAATTTTTAAATATCCCCACCCTAGGAAAAGTCGCTAAGAATATGGCGGATCCTTCGAACATATACTACTGGAGGCATGCCATTGCGAAAATTGTGGCTGAGTGTGCGAGAGAAACAGACAGTACCTCAGTACATGCTGCCTCACTCTAGCACGTCGCGATTGGTTGCAAATAAATGCTCCAACCAATCGCGGCGTGCTAGAGTGAGACAGCACATCTGAGATACTGTCTGTGTGTCTCTCAGCCACACTTTTCGCAATGGCATGCTACGTCTAGTAGTATAGTAAACATAACCTGTTCTTTTTCCTGGTTTTAATACTTTTAATTATTATGCATTAATTTCTGATTAATTATTATAATCCGAGGTAATAAAGAGATTGTTAGCTATGTAGTAGTGTTCCACGTAAATTGAGGTTTTTTTTTATTAAGAGAAGTTTACATTTTTTGGTTAAATACAGGTTTAGTTATTCGAATTCCAGCAGAAATAATTTAGATTAGATTATATCGGTCTGAATTTTATAAATTTTGTTCAAAAACTTACGAAAGCGTATTTATTTTCTAAACATATTTTAAAATGTAAATTTACTATAATTTTTATTTCATTATTAACTATTTACTGGGTATAGTATTACTTATAAATAAATAATCACTAATAAAATACACAAGAACAAGATAACTAAACTGAACAGCTACTCGACATCATAAAATAAGGTTTTTAATGCATAAAGCTGAGATATAAGGTTTAAGTGAGGTTAGTTACATATACAATAATGAAAACATACTAAATTTATGAATGAAAATATGAGAACGGAAATCGTAATAACTGTCAGTGGCTAACAAAATGGTGGAAATATGGAAGACGCGGGAAACGTAACTTTCCCTACTGATTGCTTAGTATGCTGTGGTTTGTATCATCGCACAGTGGTCGGAAATCTGAAAAATCTGGACGAAAGTCCAAAAAGGTTTGCATCATCTGCAAAAGTGGGGTCTTTATATCGCTAAAACCGAATTTGCAGTAAAAAATCTCAAATTCAAGATGGCTGACACAAGATGGTCGATATATCACAGATATATCACATTAATTTATTGAATCTATTTGAAATTTCGAGAGCCTCTGGTATCGAGGTCGCGTAAAACGTATGTTAAGGTCGGAATTTGAGGTTTTTGAGGAAATTTATTATTAATAAAGTACGAAATGTAAATATCTGCGGTATAAGGCATGTGTTTGGAATGAATTCCCCATTTCGAACGAAACAATTTCGAAATACTATTGAAGCTTATTCTTGTTATAAATCTTATTCTAATATTTAGCTTATTCTAATACATATGAGTCATTCGCATCGTCATCATCTGTCACGTAATCGTCAGAGCATGAAAGCATCATAGCTTCGGTTGAAAAGCTTTTCTCATTTTCATCTATCTTGAAATCCTGCACCTTTTTAGAAAAATGTCTATCTAAAATGATGATTTCAGTTTCTAAATTCTCGTGGAATTTTCCTTTCAAAAATCGAAAAAATTCTTTTTCGTATACGTAATTTTACTGGTGCCTAATCCTGTCGATAAATTATGAATGGAAAGATTATAGATAAAAATATGATAAATGGCACACGAAAAAGGTGCGCGTTCATAAAAAAAAAACAATTTGAATTAGTAGCGCTCGTTTGGAACGCTACACTAAAACGCTAGCTATTGTATACCTAAGGTCTCTTACAATAGTAAACCGGCCCTATACGGAGGCACAAAAAATGACTCAGAACCCGAATCCTGAAAAATTCGGAGGTTTTCTCTTTTGAATATGAACTGAAACTCCGTTTTCCAACTTTTAATAGTGCGGGATCTCTTGGGATCACAACTATTTCGATAATTTACGATTGATGTGATTCTACTTATATCTTCCATATTGTACACAACGATTCGTACTCTAGTAAAAATTTGCACGTACATATTTTCAATTCACTGCTTTTCGAGGGGTCAGTGGCAAATGAAATATGCTAAAGGCCCCCCCCCCCCCCTAGATGATCAATATTATTGTGCAATGTATTGCTGAACTGAACAGATATTGCGCAATATTATCCACAGACGATACAATATATTCCACATTGCACAATAAAAGTCAAACTATTTTTAATTCAGTCAATATATTGCGCAATCTTTCATTTTAATGCCTAGACAGTCAATATTATTGTGCAATATGAAATATTGACCTAATGTGACGCAGCATACTTCCGTGTGGTCTATACAAGTGGGCCAGCTCTTTGTCCCTTTAAAGAACTACGCAGTGACTCCTTTTCTAGGATATTCTGAAGTATTAACGCTACGACTTCGAAATTTCGGAATTCTAACCACTGTGGATCGAACAAAGATCTAAAGTTTTGTTTTAAACTTGGTAAAACGTTTATTGAAACGTTTCAATTGACGAACCAAGTTTATGTTGAAAACGCAACACAAAATAAAATACGAATTTTTTG